AGCGGGGTATACTCTTGACAGCTGGAACAAGTTTCAGCCCCTCTGTCTGTCGACCCTGTCCATTGAAGATTCGGAAGACGTATATATCTTTGGCATTTTGGTGGTGGGAATCCTCCTGTTTGGTTTTGGAGCAGTTCTCTTCTACCACAAATTCGGAGGCATGGCAGTTCGCAAGATTCACGACCTGCTGGCCGACAAAATTGATGGGATGTACAAGGAGCTTAGCCGCGTCGTGGTTGAGAGTGCCGTGTCTGGACAAAGGAGAATGGTTTTGGTGGAACAGTTGGTTAAAGACCTCGCAGCTCGTTCACTCGATGGACATAAGACTCTGGAGTTGAGATTGAATGACATTGTGTGTCAGGCTTGAACTCTCTGACCCGGCTTGGATCGGCCCCTGTGTACGGGGTCTGAGGGCGCCGCAATTCGGTTTAATTGGATTTAATAGAATATCTGCCTGACATTGCATTTAATATTGTCCCCCTGAGGCGATGTGTTTCTCCTGCTGTGTCTTCTCTCCACTCTTATCTCACATTCCTCGGGCCAAGGCCATAATAACAAAGGTCCCATCTACAACAATCTCACACTATTCAGTCTCCAGCTCGGATCCCGTCTCCCCCGCCTCCCTCTCTATCCATCTTGCTCCCTCCCTCCCCTCCACTCCTCACTGTGTTTCCGACTCACCCCCCTCCCTGACCCCGCCCCCCTCTGACAGCCACATTGGGCCGGCTGTAGGAGGTGCTTCATCCCGAGAAAAAATCCGTGCTTTATACAAGGCACAATGTGTCTACCCAACTGTCTGTGAAACTGTATGTTATTGCTCTCTGCTGTTTATTCTACTGTTTGTCGCATGGCGCCGTAAAGATGGCGCCGTGGCAAGAGCTCTGGTGTGTGTCGTCTCCTCTGTCTGGTGCACACCGGGGTAGTCTTGCACAGTTTTTCCTATGTGGTTTTACTGCAAATGGCAAATAAATGAATCTGAATCTGAAGTCTATTCTCTGAGCCACAGGAAGCCAGTGCAGAGACCTGAGGACTGGACTAATGTGGTCGTACTTCCTGGTTCTAGTCAGGACTAATATGGTCGTACTTCCTGGTTCTAGTCAGGACTAATGTGGTCGTACTTCCTGGTTCTAGTCAGGACTCGAGCTGCTGCATTTTGAATGTACTGCAGCTGTTTTACAGCCTGTTTGGACAGACCTGTGAGCAGGCCATTGCAGTAGTCTAACCTACTGGAGACAAATGCATGGATAAGAATCTCCAGGTCTGCTTTAGACACTATGTTTTTGATCCTGGCAATGTTTTTTAGATGGTAAAAAGCTGCTGATGTTACTGATTTGATGTGGCTATTAAAATTTAAGTCTGAGTCTAGTATTACCCCTAGATTTCTGACCTTGTTTGAAGGTTTTAGGGAGAGAGACTGTAGGTGACAGATGACGCTCTCTCTTTGTTTCTGGGGACCAAAGACAATCATTTCAGTTTTGTCTGCGTTTAGCTGAAGGAAGTTGTTTTGCATCCACTCACTGATCTGTTGGATACAGTGAAGGAGTGAGTCCACTGGTCCATGTTCTCCTGCAGTCAGTGAGACATAGATCTGAGTGTCGTCTGCATAGTTGTGATAGGACACTTTGTTTCTGCGTATTAACTGACCTAACGGCAGCATGTAGAGATTGAACAGAAGAGGTCCCAGGATCGACCCCTGTGGAGTACCACAGGTCAGGGCCATATGATCTGAGACACAGTTTCCAATCTCCACAAAGTACTTCCTGTCCTCAAGGTAAGACCTAAACCAACTTAGGGCGGTGCCAGCGACGCCAACCCAGTCCTCTAGTCTCTGTAAGAGGATCTCATGGTCGACGGTGTCAAAGGCAGCACTTAGATCTAACAGGATTAGGATTGAGACTTTGCCTGCGTCAGTGTTCAGCCGGATATCGTTTGTAACCTTAACGAGAGCAGTCTCAGTGCTGTGGTGGGGTCTAAAGCCGGACTGAAACATATCAAATGAGTTGTTGATTATAAGAAATCTAGTAAGCTGTAGGTAGACAACTTTCTCAAGGACTTTCCCCATAAATGGCAGATTTGAGATGGGACGATAGTTGTTAAGTACCGTAGCATCCAGGCTGCTCTTTTTTAGCAGGGGCCTGATGACTGCTGATGATTAGGGCCCTTTAATGATGACTTGACATGAAAATCTTACACATTTCTACTTTAAGATGAAGAGATCCTTTATTCATCCACAGTGTTGCATCACAAGTTACAGAACAGTAAGAATGAGGCGCACACGACACAAGATAAATGAACAATAGCTGTACTAATTAAAATAAAACTAAATCTCTAACTCTTGTGTAACCCACATAAAAAATGCGTTCTGTGTAAAAATAAAATGTTTTGATATTATTTATTCTCCGCGCTCCCGTTCACTATTGCGAGAAGGGCCTCAGCCAGTCACGTTGCCCGTAGCGGGGGATACAAGCCGCTTGCGCTTCTCCCTGTCACACACGGGAGGGAGACGCAACCGGACAGCTGCACAGGAGCCTCATGCTGGGCATACGTTATAAGGGGGAATTGGCCATTTTGTGTCTGGGTGAGACACAAAACCTGAATCCGATGGCGAGCTAGAACCCAGAACTGAACAACAAACATCCTCCTGCGGTCAGGGTAGGAGGCAGTTGCAGTCCGTCCACTCCCACACTCATCCACACACCCCAGTTGCAATAACCATACGGATTATCATTGCAAAGACTTTCAATAACCATGAACATTTAAGCCCACATCGTTGTGGCACCCCACTACCCGGTTTTGTGTGTGTGCGATTCTGTCACGAGCTGTGACCCCTGGTTGGGAACCATTCTGGACATTTTAAAAAGCTTAAAGGAACTGCTGCTGTATTGTTGTGTTGTTGATTTGTCGAGCTGCAGAACTGTATATATATGCACTAAATGTCTTGTTTCTCACTGTAAATACATGGCACCCGCCGGTAAACAGTCTGTCTCTTGTGTATAATATTACTTGCCTCACACCTCCCGGAGAGCCGTATCTACTCTTCTGATCTAGTCCAAAGAACCCATTCTTTCCTATACTTTATTATCACTGGCATAACGTAGCTCATATGCTACACTTCATGCTGCATCAAAGAACAAGTATAAAATCTATCTAACATAGTAATAATAAAGTATACATTTTTTTCACATTTACACAAACATTACAAACAGCTGCAGCTCAGAGGAAGTGACTACCTCCTGGAGTCGTTCAGAATCTGTGGATGAACCTCTGCACCTGGTCCGCTCGCTCGCACTTCTGCTTTTTGTCGCTCCACACAACCACAAGCAAAACTATAGACACGGTCTGTTTGTGTCCCACTTTGTCTTCATGGTGTCTGGCTTTGTCTTCATGGTGTTTGTGTTTTCCCTCACTTTGACCAAACCAGAATCATTCACATTGTTTTAATAGTCGCTGGTTCCATGGGCGGCTCAGTGGTGCGGTGGTTAGCACTGGAACTGTGGAACTTAACCCAAGAAGGTCCTGCATGGGTTTCATTCCACCGCCAGGCCTTTCTGTATACAGTACAGACCAAAAGTTTGGACACACCTTCTCATTCAAAGAGCTCAATTAACTCTGTTGGATGACCTGAAATGGTCTTCAACAGTCTTGAAGGAGTTTCCATGATGCTTAGCACTTGTTGGCCCCTTCACTCTGTGGTCCAGCCCAAAAACCATCTAGACAGGTTCAGGTCTGGTGACTGTGGAGGTCATGTGGCCCAGCACCATCACTCTCCTTATTGGTCAAATAGCCCTTACACAGCCTGGTGCGGATCTACAGCCAATATTCATGAAAAGAACTCTGTGAAGGAGAGAGGGTGTCCAGACTTCTGCTCTGTACTGTACAATAGATCTGGCATGTTCTCTGTTCGGTGACCTCGCTCCCATCTGTGTGGAGTGAGAGACAAATGCCCAATCGGTCAGCCTCGAAGGGATTCTGGCCAACCGTCCGGTACCCCAGGAGGGGGAAGCAGTTCCGGGGTGGTGGTCCCCCTCTACAAGAAGGGGGGCCGGTGGTTGTGTTCCAATTATCGGGGGTAACACTTCTCAGCCTCCCTGGTAAGGTCTTCTCCAGGGTACCTCAATTGGTTCCACGTCGAGAGGAACCAATTGAGGTGGCTCGGGCATCTGTTCCGGATGCCTCCTGGACGCCTCCCTGGGGAGGTGTTCCCGGCACGTCCCACCGGGAGGAGGCCCCGAGGAAGACCCAGGCCACGCTGGAGGGACTATGTCTCTCAGCTGGCCTGGGAGCGCCTTGGGGTCCCCCCGGACGAGCTGGAGGTAGTGTGTGTGGATAGGGAAGTCTGGGCGTCTCTGCTTAGACTGCTGCCCCCGTGACCTGGCAAAGGATGAAGCGGAAGAAAATGGATGGATGGATGAAATTATTACTGTCTATCTCTTTCAGGGGTGTCAAACTGGTTCTAGAAGTGACCGTGTGGCATCTAGTCCACCCATTTCCGAGGGATCACACACTCTGAATGAGTGCACTGGAAAAAGTGATGAAAAAGAAGTCAATAATTGCTCAAATTTGGCAACTTTTTATTCATTTGAGCACATTCTGACTAAGTTCAAAACAAGACTAAATGGCTTTGTCCCGGCAGAGAATCTTGTTTAAAGACAGAATTCAGAAGTCAGAATGTGCTCAAACTAAGAAAGAAACCGCTTGATTCAAGCCTTTATAAAGAGAGAGAGAGACAGAGAGAGAAAAAGATCCTTAGTATTCCCACAGCGGGGAAATTTCAATGTTGCATCGCAAGTCACAGAACAGACAGAACTATGAGCACACAGCACATTTCTAAATCTATTGCGTCATACTTTGTAACTGTTTGCAGAGTGTGAACTTCAGCGTGGACGAAATGGTTTACGGCTAAAGATAGATGGATAAAGCAAAATAACAAACGAAAAAGGTGTTTGTTCTTATACTTGTTGTTTGTTTTTAGTAAATAAATCCTTCTCTGCTGTCCCCAGGTTCCCGAGCGTTTCCTGGAGGTGTCCCAGGTCACTCTCCGTGAGTTCTTCAACGCCATCGTCGCAGGGAAGGACGCAGACCCCTCGTGGAAGAAGGCCATCTACAAAGTCATCTGCAAACTGGACAGCGAGGTCCCGGAGGTCTTCAAGTCCCCCAACTGCCTACAAGAGCTCCTCCATGACTGACTAGGACCGGGAGGGAGGGCTCTGTGGACCGTGGACCGAAACCCCGCGTCCCTGAGACAGTTCTGAGAAAAGAATAAACTCTTGCAAGAGGTCGAGAACATTGCAAAAAAAAGTTTTTCATGCTTCTTGTACTAAAAAAAATCCCCCATTGGAAAAAAACACTCGGCAAAAGAAAACAGAAGAGTATATTCAGCTTTTTATTGTGGATGTTTTTTGGATTTCTGGACTTATTTTGAATCAAGTGGCGTTTGCGTATTTCCTCCTTCTCCTTCGTGAGCAGACTGTATCTAGAAACAGAAAAGGGGTTCGGACGTTTCGCGAAGCTTGGAGACCCCTTGATCCCGTTTAGCTGTCGTTTCCACTCTTGTTCTTACTGAGCATTTTGGGTGTTTTTTGACCATGTGGCTCCCTGTGGTGACCCTCTCTCTCGCCCTCGGGTTTTTACACGTGTGCTTTCTGATCTGGCGCAGTTGCATGACCCTCTCTGTAATGTATTTTTATTTTTTTATTTTGTTGAGAATTTCAGATCTGAGACTATATCGTGCCATCAACACAGATCAGGTGTGGACGTTTGCGAACAGGCTTGCTGCTCTGAGAATCTCATACAAACACCAAAAATTGCTCACATTTGGCAAAATGTGTCTTGATTTGAGAAAATGTTTATTGGTTTAAAGCAAGATTTGCCGATAGGACAAAGCAGAATTATCTTTTTAAAAAGAAATGTCTCTTTTGGAATGGGAAAATAAAGCAACAGCGCTTGAAATAGGACTAAATGGCTTTGTCTCATTGGAGAATCTTGCTTTAATACAACTAAAATTAAAAGGTATATAGGAGGATTTATTCATTCATTCATTCATTTGAGAGCTGCCACCCAATGCTCAAAGCACCCGTCCCTAATAGGAGGATTTTCCCACTTTTTAGGAAAGAACCGCCTTCTCTCTGGTCTTATTTGACGAGCACTATCACCAGAATGATTGACAACTGGGAGGACCAAAAGTGATGATCCGTCCTCCTATCTACCTTCAAGATGCAAACTGGATTCAAGCCATTTTTTAGCTCATATTTAACCATTTTTTGTTCATTATTTAGTGTGTGACCATTTCGCTTTTATACATTATCACCAGAAAATCACTGATGGTAATCCAAAATCACTGGCATCAAAATGAGATGTTTTAGGGATGATTTAAATTTAATCAGTTCTAAAGTCACTTGCGTAAAATGAATCTGATTGAATGCATGTTTAAAATATCTAATAATCCAGCGGTCGTTTGGTCGCTGCAGTTGAACTGGTTTGCTTTTGTTTTGGTCTCATAGTTTCATATAATTTAATTTGGAGTTATTGGATTACATTTGAGATTACATGAGATTACATTTGTTTTTGTTGTTTGCACTTTGAGAACAGAACCGAGGGGTTCACACGAGACCCAAATCCACTCAAATCCAGGTCAGATTAGTCTAAATGCGTTAATTTAGTGACTTTACATTCTCATTTTTATTTCATATCAAAAGAACTGTTTTTACAAAATATATGTGTTATATATAATTAACTATAAACAAAATCATAATAATCCTTCAGTGATTTTAATATTTTTTTTTACTACTGTATGTACACAGACACACAAATACATACACACACCAAAACACTCACCTACTGTACGCACACACACACACATACAGACGCACACATACAGACACACACACACACACTCTCTCTCTCTCTGGGCTCGTTCATACACCTTTGCAATAGTTCAAATGTTTTTGTTTTTTCATCAGTATCTCATGGTTTTTACCACATGGTTCTGTTTCAAATCCTGTCTGTGGTGAAACTAAAAGTTTTGGACCCCATCTTTAAGCCTCAGATTTTAAAAAAGAAATGTGTGTAACTGTTTTTGTGGTTCGACACAAACCGGAGGCAGGATTCTTCATGTCTAAAAGCTGCTAAGAGGCTCTGGTCAGACGCTGCTGCAGCCGCACCAGCCGCCCACAGTCTCAAAGAGGAACCCTAGTCCCACTCAGGGCCAGAGAGGGGCCACTGTGTGTGTGTGTATTAGTGTGACGATACGTGTGTGTTTGTGTGTGTGACTGTACATGTGGGTGTGTGTGTGAGACTATACATATGTGTGTGAGACTGTACGTGTGTGTGTGTGACTGTACTTGTGTGTATGTGACTGCACATAGGTGTGTGTGTGTGTATGACTGTACATATGTGTGTGTGTGTGTGTGATTGTACATATGTGTGTGTGACAGTACACTTGTGTGTTTTTCAGAGCAGAAAAGTTGTGTTGCTGATCTTTGTAGCTTGTATAGATGTAATAAATGAGGGATATTGTTATTTATAATGAGAGTTGTGTAATTCCAATGATTATGACTCGTTCTGACTCACGCTTGCTGCAGATTTGACCAGTGGTTTATCATCGTTTATCATTACGTGAAATAAATTATTCTTTAAAAAAATAAACTTGGTGTGAATTTGTGTGAGTCCCACGTCTGCTAACCCCGGGAAGTAACACACATTGGTTACACACATTAGTAACACATATTAGTACACACTTTATTTACACACATTCGTAACACACATTCGTAACACACATTCGTAACACACTTTATTTACACACATTCGTAACACACTTTATTTACACACATTCGTAACACACATTCGTAACACACATTAGTAACACACATTAGTACACACTTTATTTACACACATTCGTAACACACATTCGTAACACACATTAGTAACACACATTAGTAACACACATTAGTAACACACATTAGTAACACACATTAGTAACACTATGGTTACACACATTGGTTACACTTCCCCAGGGAGGCGTCCAGGAGGCATCCGGGGCAGATGCCCAAGCCACCTCAACTGGTTCCTCTCAACGTGTAGAAGCAGCGGCTCTACTCCGAGCTCCACCCGTGTGATTGAGCTCCTCACCCTATCTCTAAGGGAGCAGCCACTCTGCGGAGGAAGCTCATTTTGACCGCTTCTATCCGCGATCTCGTTCTTTCGGTCATTACCCAAAGCTCAAGACCATAGGTGAGGGAGAGAACGAAGATTGATGGGTAAATCGAGAGCTTTGCCTTGTCCACCAGGAGAGGACCAGGACCTGGAGAGAACCAGGACCTGGACAGGGCAAGGCACCTTTTTCCGGTCGAACACCATGGCCTCGGATTTGGAGGTGCTGATTCTCATCCCAGCCGCTTCACACTCGGCTGCAAACCGTCCCAGTGCATGTTGCAGGTCCTGGTTCGTTGGAGCCAACAGGACAACATCGTCCGCAAACATCAGAGATGAAATCCTGTGGTCTCCAAACCGGACCCCTTCCGGCCCCTGGCTGCGCCTAGAAATTCTGTCCATGAATACAGTGAACAGAACCGGTGACAAAAAGGCAGCCCTGGCGGAGGCCAACATGCACCGGGAACAGGTCTGAACGCAGCTCTGGCTCCGGTCATACAGGGACTGGACGGCCCTCAGCAGAGGACCCCAGACCCCGTACTCCCGGAGAACCCTCCAATGGACACCCCGAGGAACACGGTCGAACGCCTTCTCCAAATCCACAAAGCATATGTGGACAGGTTGGGCGAACTCCCATGAACCCTCGAGTATCCGATGGAGAATAATGAATAATATATAATATAATAATAAATTTATCTTCATTTGACTGTCTTTAATTAAGATTTTCCAAAAGGAACAAGTAGTTTAGTCTTATTTCAAAAACCGTTGCAATTTATGCCTCTTCCATGGGAGACATTTCTTGTATTTTCTTGGGTTTGGGTTTCTTACTTTGTCCTGTGGCAAATCTTGTTTTCAGAAAGTTAAAATATGCTCAAATTAAAATAAAAACACACTTAAAATCCTCCCAAATCCAGAAAAGATTTTTAGAATGTTAGTTTCTCTGGAAAAATTTCTCTCCTCTTCCTAACCCAACACCCGCAGTCCAACCACAGTTGTTTACACACGTGGGGCTGTGGAGCACAGGGCATGACCCGTCCCACCGTCTTCACCATTGCCTCAAACGTCACCATGGCAACACCAACCCCCCATGTGCCCGCGAGCGCCCCTGTCTCCGCCAAAGTGTGCGTGGGGGGGACACGCGATCTCCTGTTGTTGGTGCTGATGAGTTGAAAAGAGGAGCTGCGATTATTGTCAGCACAAAAGAGTCGGAAAAGCTGCTGACGGAGAGATTAGCCGTGACAAAGAGCCACACAAAAACAATGTGGGTCGGTCCCGCACACGGGGGGTGGGGGTGGGGGGGGGACCCAGGAATCCCGGAGTGACGCCATTTCCACTTACTCAGGTGATCAACCAGGAAGAGACAGAGGAGACTCGAGTAGAAACCACAGAGTCACGAGACCAAAGAGAGAGAAACCAGGGACCAGCAACAGACCAGAGAAACCTGACCATTAGAAGCCATCGATGATGACAATGTTTGGTTCGGGGGTTTTTTTCCATCGATCGATAGGCCCAAAACACATATTTGAAAACATAGCATTTAGACAGATAGATTGGGGGGATGTATCAGCAGTCTCCTGTGATCTTATGTAGTGCTAATAACAGGATGGCCTGGATCCACAGCTTCAGTCCTGGGTTTACAGCCTCAGTCCTGGGTCTACAGCCTCAGTCCTGGGTCCTGGGTTGTGGGCGATAGTAGCTCGGTTGGTAGAGCGTTGGCCTTTGAGCCAGAGGGTCGTGGGTTCGAGCCCGACCTTCACCATCAACTCCCACTGTCTGCTGTCGTTGTGTCCTTGGCAAGACACTTAACCTCTGGGAACACCAGCCACAGTGGGGCGGCTGCGGCTGTAAAGTGCCGAACTGCCGTTATGTCCTTAGGCAAGACACTTTACCTCCATTGCCTAGAATGAGTCTGGTGTGTGTGAAGGGTTGGTGTTGGTGGGAGGGGCTGATGGCACATGCTGGTGCCATCAGTAGTAGTTTATCTCCACTTGTTTGGAGTGAATGAATAAGGACATGTAAAGCGTCTTTGAGGGTCCAGAAAAGCGCTATATAAAACCCATGCATTATTATTATTACAGCCTCAGTCCTGGGTCAATTATTGACTGTGGGTGTTTGCTATTATTGCGTTTCCTGTGTTCGAAATAAGATAAGATATACTATATTGATCTCACAAAGGATAAATGTACATGTCACATCTGTCATGGATAGAAAGGGTTGCAGGTTTTTCAGTCTTAATACAGTGACTTGTTTTACAGTCTGACAGCAGTGGGGATAAATCTTTGATTCTCTGATCTGTAGAGGAATCGACAACTTTATAAAGACCTCTGAGATGACTGCTGTTGTGATTTTGGGCGATACACCCATATATCCCTCTCTCTCCCTCTCCCGCTGTCTCTCCTTCCCTCCCTCTCTCTCTCCCCCTCCCTCGTTCTCCCCCTTCTTTCTGTCTCTCCTCTCCTTTCCCTCTCTCTCTCCCCTTCCCTCTCTCCTCTCTCCTTCCTCTCTCTCCCTCCTCTCTCCTCCCTCTCTCTCTCTCTCCCCCTCCCTCTCTCCCCTCTCCCCCCCTCTCTCTCTCTCTCTCCCCTTCCCTCTCTCTCCCTCTCCCTCCCTCTCTCTCTCCCCTTCCCTCTCTCTCCTCTCTCCCTCCCTCTCTCTCTCCCCTTCCCTCCCTCTCTCTCCCCCTATCCCTCTCCCTTCCCTCTCTCTCTCTCGCTCTCTCTCTCTCTCTCTCTCTCTCTCTCTCTCTCCCTCCATCTCCCTCTCTCCGCTTCCCTCTCTCTCTCTCCCTCCCTCTCTCTCTCCGCTTCCCTCTCTCTCTGTATCTCCCCATGTTTCTATCTCTCTCCCCCCTCTCCTCCCCCTCTCCCCCCTCTGTCCGCGGTCTGTGGTCTAATCAAACACCATCTGCGTGAATGTCCCCGACGTGCACGAGCATGTGCCAGCGCGCGCTCTCACAGTAGCACTTTGAACAACTGCTCCACAGCATCTCCAGGAGGAAAGTCAACACACACTAAAGCAAGTAGGGCCCCATGCTCTGGCCCCTGGCTGAACTTCAGGAGCCACGGATACGAGGAGCGCGCGGGGGCCAGGCCGTTAAAAAGCGACGGGCAGAGTGGGAAGGAGGGGGAGGAGAAGGGAGGAGATAACGGAGGAACAGACGGTATAAACACAACGAGGAGCGAGAAGAGAAAACGGGGATCAGGGGATCCGCGTGGTACTGTAAAAAAGAGGTATGCATGTATACTGAGACAGAGGTCTGTATGTATACTGAGACAGATGTATGTATACTGAGACAGAGGTCTGTATGTATACTGAGACAGATGTATGTATACTAAGACAGATGTATGTATACTGAGACAGAGGTCTGTATGTATACTGAGACAGATGTATGTATACTGAGACAGAGGTCTGTATGTATACTGAGACAGAGGTCTGTATGTATACTGAGACAGAGGTCTGTATGTATACTGAGACAGAGGTATGTATACTGAGGCACAGGTATGTATACTGAGACAGAGGTCTGCATGTATGTATACTGAGACAGAGGTCTGTATGTATACTGAGGCAGAGGTCTGTATGTATACTGAGGCAGAGGTCTGTATGTATACTGAGGCAGAGGTCTGTATGTATACTGAGACAGGAGAGGTCTATATGTATACTGAGACAGGTCTGTATGTATACTGAGACAGAGGTCTGTATGTATACTGAGGCAGAGGTCTGTATGTATACTGAGACAGGTCTGTATGTATACTGAGACAGAGGTGTGTATACTGAGAAAGAGGTACAGTATGTATACTGAGGCACAAGTATGTATACTGAGACAAAGGTATGTAAACTGAGACAGAGGTGTGTATGCTGAGACAGAGGTATGTATACTGAGACAGAGGTATGTATACTGAGACAGAGGTGTGTATGCTGAGACAGAGGTATGTATACTGAGACAGAGGTATGTATACTGAGATAGAGGTGTGTATGCTGAGACAGAGGTATGTATACTGAGACAGAGGTATGTACACTGAGACAGGTATGAATACTGGGACAAGTCTGTATGTATACTGAGACAGAGGTCTGTATACAGAGACAGAGGTATGTATACTGAGACAGAGGTCTGTATACAGAGACAGAGGTATATAAACTGAGAAAAGTCTATTTCATTTCAAACCAGATCTGTTTTTACAGTGTGTGAGTGAAGCTGAAGCTGTTGCCAACGACACAATCATCTTAAACTCTGTCACTACAGTGTTGGTGCTGCTGTCACCGCCAATCTGCCAAGACATGGCTGGGGCCTCTGAGGGGCCTCTGAGGGGTCTCTGAGGGCCTCTGAGGGCCCCTGCATGCATGAGGCAGATGTTAGTACAGAAAAGGGCCTGGCATTGCACTGTTCCTCCGTGTTCCACATTGTTCCTCATTAAGATAAGACAGGGGCCACAGTGGGGGGGGATGCAGCTGTATTGTGCCTGTGAACTGTGGGTGTGTCCTTCACCCATATTAGAATGAAATGATCTCCTTCTGGGCAGGACCAGGCCGATCAGTGCTAAAGTGGAGCTAAAAACAGCTCCAGGTCAGGACCATGGAGCACTCAAACCGACGGAGCAGAGAGTGTTCCTAACATTTGCCCTTTAAACCGCAACACAGGTCCTTAGTACTTTGGAAAAGCTGAAATCGAAGGCAGCAGATCTGGGACGGGGCCGGTTGATGTGTGGCCCCTCGGCTGGGGGCCATCAGCTCGCTCCATACATTCATCACATCGACGCGTCCAAAGGGCCCATCTATGCACGAGGGCCTGTGATTGGCTGAGGGCCGGGTGGCGTTGGGCCCCGGCGGAGCAGAGACGGGGGCCCCGCGGAGAAGGGGTCAATGGCGGGCACACGGGGCCCCCACACGGAACCCATACAGGCATTAGGTCTGTCGATAAGAGCCTTTCAGGACTGACAGGGGTCCAGGGTCAATAATCAACCAGGATTATGGCTGAGGAACACGGGCCCCGGGCTTCGTGCCTGTGGTCTGAGGTCTGAAGCAAGTACTCTGGTCTCTCTCTGGTCCCGCTCTCTCTGGTCCCTCTCTCTGGTCCCTCTCTCTGGTCCCTCTCTCTGGTCCCTCTCTCTGGTCCCTCTCTCTGGTCCCTCTCTCTGGTCCCTCTCTCTGGTCCCTCTCTCTGGTCTCTCTCTGGTCTCTCTCTGGTCTCTCTCTGGTCTCTCTCTGGTCTCTCTCTGGTCTCTCTCGGTCTCTCTCTCTGGTCTCTCTCTCTGGTCTCTCTCTCTGGTCTCTCTCTCTGGTCTCTCTCTCTGGTCTCTCTCTCTGGTCTCTCTCTCTGGTCTCTCTCTCTGGTCTCTCTCTGGTCTCTCTCTCTGGTCTCTCTCTCTCTCTCTGGTCTCTCTCTCTCTCTCTGCTGCTGTGATTTAGATTCACAAATAAATTAGATTGAACTGAACCTGGAACATGGTGAGAAACTCTCACAATGACCCACAGGTTACACACAGGTGTGTGTGTGTGTATGTATATGTGTGGGTATGTGTGTGTCAGTGTGATGGGGTGTGTGTGTGTTCGTGTTTGTCTGTGTGTGTAGAAATATATATGTGTGTGTGTGTGTGTATATACGTGTGTGTCCAGTCCTGAGGCAGTGATGGAGCACCTTGCCTTCTTCCCCTTAATGCTCCTTCGGGACAAATGCACTGGTGATCTCGTTTGGACTTTTCTTTTCGTACATTTCTTGCAATTTTCTTTAACCGCTGCTGACGTCTGGACGCAGCGATCCATCAGGGTCTCCTCAGGCCTGAAAACACACAATCAAGAGACGAGGACAGACGACAACGCCAGGCTTGTGTTTTGGAATAAGTTCTCATGCTTAGACACAGCTGAATATGCTTTGGGCAACGAAACACCCCCATCGAGTGGTTGAAACAGGAATTAGACACACAAGTACCTCAAACAGACAGACTGTAGACCCAGGACTGAGGCTGTAGACCCAGGACTGAGGCTGTAGACCCAGGACTGAGGCTGTAGACCCAGGACTGAGGCTGTAGACCTTTCAGACATGTTGTTTCTCAGGTTCTCAGTATTCACTATTTCACTGTCTGTCTTTAGTGAACACAGTGACTCTGTGAAATATAATGGTGTGACAGCACTGACCTCTAGTGGCCAAAGTGACAAACTGCAGGCTCCATTTAGCCTCATGTTGAGGTTTGTGACCAAGGTCCACACCAGACTCATGTCACAAAAACAAACTCCCTTCAAGATCTAAGCTCATTTTGGGGAAATTTCCTCGCCTGGTTTTCTTTGTGACTATTGCTCATAAAACAGTCATGTTGTGATGCAGAGTCAAGCAGTATACTTTGTTTTTTTCAGTACAACCTGGGGATTTATAATATTCATATTGTAAAGCTGTCATATGAATTATATAAAAATTATGGAATCATGAAGACAAAGAAAAATATGAAACGGAAATTCAATTTCACTAAAATGTTTTGAAAATAAACAACTTTTTATAGAAATGTTATGTAGGGTCTTGGGGATAATGGGTGAAAAAATTGAACCTGTAACTATTATACTTTTTTACAAAATTCCACTACGAGTGCAAAAAATGCTGTACTCCTAATGCCCTTCCTGAAGCAGTTAGTCTATGATTCTGGGGTTGCTTCAGTGTCACAGCTGTAAGATTTGTAAAACATCATATCATTTTACTTATTTATTACTGTCTATATCAATAATGCGCACTCTCCAGCCAGGTGCTGGCTCCTATAGCACTGCATCTCCGTCTCCTCCTATCTTTGTGTACTACACTTTCAAGCCCAGACTGAACATACACATCACTCGTAGACCACGTAGATTAGTGATCGATTAGTTGTGTCGGGGACGCATTTTTGCAACATTCCGCTAAAAAAATGCGTCTTTTGCGCGTCAGTAATTGCAATCGCAGATGTAATTTCAACTATGGGACACTAAGTACACACAGACGAGTGAATCATCCTCTGACGATTTTTGGCAGTCCCCGTGTGAGTGAAAAACTTTTTACCTCACGGGTTAGAGTTTGGGTTAGGGTTTGGGTTAGAATAGGGGGTAACCCTAACCCTAACCATGAAGGTTTGAGGGCTCATATCTCAGATATGGAACTTCGTAGAACATTGAAGCCAAGATGTACCCCCCATTCCATGAGGTTGGCTTTCATTTGTTGCCACATTTGTTGTCCTACATTATGCTGTAGGATTTTTTGTTCTCGCGATATTTGCAAAAAAAAACTTGTGTTTCTCGGGAACCAAAAGTCGTGGGGGACTAACTGGCGTGTTCTGAAGACCCGAATTATGTCTGACGGATTAAGGTTTCAAGTCTCTAGGACCTTTGGTTCGGGAGTTATACACATTTTAAGTTCCGCATTGAAATGAATGGGACAGCGAGAAAGGGTTAGGGTAAATTTTTGCCTAAGTGTTTGGGGCATAAAAGTGTTGTCAGAATCATGAAATGAGCGCGTTTGAAGTCTATTGAAGACAAAAAGTTTTGACTAATTTTCAAAAATGTTATATTCTTATAGAGTATTTATCTGATGGTGGAAAAAATACAATATTTACAATTAAAAAAAAAAAAAAAAAAAAAAAAAAGCAAAAAAAAAAAGCGAGTTTAAAATCATACAAATAACTATAAATATTTAGGGCACTAACCAGTGAAAAGGCTCTGGGAATTATTTGCTTGCGTTTGGCTCCCTCTAGTGGCCGCGCCGCGGCAACACACCATTAGCGGCCGCATTCTCACCCTATAAGAAGAAGTAACTCTCGTTAAACTATAGCAATGAAAACGAGGGGAAATACCTAACTCTGTGAAACAGGCGATCATAAAAAGTATGAAAAGATAGGGCCATATTAGCTGACACTATAAACTATTTATTATTGATAGTTTCTTTCATGGGGCTGTCTTCTAAAAAAAGCAGCTGTAGCATGGGCCAGGGTTAGGGTTATGGTTAGGGTTAGAATAGGGGGGTAAAAACCACTTAATGTACCCCCCACCATAAAAGTTTGAGGGCTCATATCTCAGAAACTGAACGTCGTAGAGCATTGAAACCAAGATGTACCCCCCCGTACTATGAGGTTGGCTTTCAAATGGTGCCAGCCATTCTACTGTGGGACTTTCCATTCTCGCGATATCTGCCAAAAAAAAACTTTGTTTTTTGTATATCTCCGGAACCGAAAGTCGTAGAGTCTCGGGACCAAGACTGGCGTGTTCAGAAGACCCGAATTATGTCTGACGGATCAAGGTTTCAAGTCTCTAGGACCTTTGGTTCGGGAGTTATAAACGTTTTAAGTTCCGCGTTAGGGTTAGGGTTAGGGTTAGGGTTAGCGAAGAAACTCAAGATGGCCCTCTGGGAATGGCCCTCATTTGCATATGAGCATTTCACGTTTCAGCCAGTAGAGGGAGGCAGGTGGAGAGACAGAACAGGCTATATTTAAAGTCATTTTTAAGTGATGTGTTCAGTTCAAATCATATATCGTGTAACTACACTCATGAAAGCTCAGTAACAATATTTGACAGCATTTCCCAGCCCCATCCGCCAGGGGGCGTTCCAATTTAAAAAGGGTTAGGGTTAGGGTTAGGGTTAGGATAGGGGGGTAAAAACCACTTAATGTACCCCCCACCATAAAAGTTTGAGGGCTCATATCTCAGAAACGGAACGTCGTAGAGCATTGAAACCAAGATGTACCCCCCCGTACTATGAGGTTGGCTTTCAAATGGTGCCAGCCATTCTACTGTGGGACTTTCCATTCGCCCCGTTCCCTACTGCACTGCTCCCTACTGCACTGCTCCCTACTGCTCTGCTCCCTACTGCTCTGCTCCCTACTGCACTGCTCCCTACTGCACTGCTCCCTACTGCACTGCTCCCTACTGCTCAGCTCCCTACTGCTCTGCTCCCTACTGCCCCGTTCCCTACTGCACTGCTCCCTACTGCACTGCTCCCTACTGCTCTGCTCCCTACTGCACTGCTCCCTACTGCTCTGCTCCCTACTGCTCTGCTCCCTACTGCACTGTTCCCTACTGCTCTGCTCCCTACTGCCCCGGTCCTACTGCTCAGCTCCCTACTGCTCTGCTCCCTACTGCCCCGTTCCCTACTGCACTGCTCCCTACTGCTCTGCTCCCTACTGCTCTGCTCCCTACTGCACTGCTCCCTACTGCACTGCTCCCTACTGCTCTGCTCCCTACTGCACTGCTCCCTACTGCACTGCTCCCTACTGCACTGCTCCCTACTGCACTGCTCCCTACTGCCCTGTTCCCTACTGCTCTGCTCCCTACTGCACTGCTCCCTACTGCCCCGTTCCCTACTGCACTGCTCCCTACTGCCCCGTTCCCTACTGCACTGCTCCCTACTGCCCCGTTCCCTACTGCACTGCTCCCTACTGCACTGTTCCCTACTGCACTGCTCCCTACTGCACTGCTCCCTACTGCACTGTTCCCTACTGCACTGCTCCCTACTGCCCCGTTCCCTACTGCTCTGCTCCCTACTGCCCCGTTCCCTACTGCACTGCTCCCTACTGCTCTGCTCCCTACTGCTCTGCTCCCTACTGCTCTGCTCCCTACTGCTCTGCTCCCTACTGCACTGCTCCCTACTGCCCCGTTCCCTACTGCACTGCTCCCTACTGCCCCGTTCCCTACTGCACTGCTCCCTACTGCCCCGTTCCCTACTGCACTGCTCCCTACTGCACTGTTCCCTACTGCTCTGCTCCCTACTGCCCCGTTCCCTACTGCTCTGCTCCCTACTGCCCCGTTCCCTACTGCACTGCTCCCTACTGCACTGCTCCCTACTGCTCTGCTCCCTACTGCTCTGCTCCCTACTGCTCTGCTCCCTACTGCTCTGCTCCCTACTGCACTGCTCCCTACTGCCCTGTTCCCTACTGCTCTGCTCCCTACTGCTCTGCTCCCTACTGCACTGCTCCCTACTGCACTGCTCCTACTGCCCCGTTCCCTACTGCTCTGCTCCCTACTGCTCTGCTCCCTACTGCACTGCTCCCTACTGCACTGCTCCCTACTGCTCAGCTCCCTACTGCTCTGCTCCCTACTGCTCTGCTCCCTACTGCCCCGTTCCCTACTGCTCTGCTCCCTACTGCCCCGTTCCCTACTGCTCTGCTCCCTACTGCTCTGCTCCCTACTGCACTGCTCCCTACTGCTCTGCTCCCTACTGCACTGCTCCCTACTGCCCCGTTCCCTACTGCTCAGCTCCCTACTGCTCTGCTCCCTACTGCACTGCTCCCTACTCCACTGCTCCCTACTGCACTGCTCCCTACTGCTCAGCTCCCTACTGCACTGCTCCCTACTGCTCTGCTCCCTACTGCACTGCTCCCTACTGCACTGTTCCCTACTGCTCTGCTCCCTACTGCACTGTTCCCTACTGCTCTGCTCCCTACTGCACTGTTCCCTACTGCTCTGCTCCCTACTGCACTGCTCCCTACTGCTCTGCTCCCTACTGCCCCGTTCCCTACTGCTCAGCTCCCTACTGCTCTGCTCCCTACTGCACTGCTCCCTACTCCACTGCTCCCTACTGCACTGCTCCCTACTGCTCAGCTCCCTACTGCACTGCTCCCTACTGCTCTGCTCCCTACTGCACTGCTCCCTACTGCACTGTTCCCTACTGCTCTGCTCCCTACTGCACTGTTCCCTACTGCTCTGCTCCCTACTGCACTGCTCCCTACTGCACTATGTATTGTTGTATAGCCCTAGGTCACAACAGTATCATCTCAGAGACTTAACAAAACCATTGAAATCACCAACACAGGTCAGAGAATCAACAGTTAAAACACATGAAGAATATAAAGCACACACAGAAGAAAATGTCCATACATGTTGTAGAATGCTAAAGTGTCCTTATCATCACCAATCCTTTCTGTTGGACACTAACTGTCCAACAAGACCCTCCTGCATCCACAAGGAACAACTCTTAAAAAACGCATTCATTCATTCATACACAGTGGTGTGTGTAAAGCCTGGTTCACACGGCAGACAATCTTTAAGAACGCTCCGATTTTCTTAAATAAATCTGATGTATTTTCCGTGTGGTTAAGACTGGCCTCGTCGCTCAGAAGGACTTTGGGACTGCTCCGATCTCAAATCGGGGATATCCAACATGTTGGATTGTTTTGGCCCGATTTCTCTTGGTGTGTGGTGTCGGGGACAGACAAGCGCGTTGCCATGACTGCAGCGTGTAGCCAATTTTTATTTATTTATTTGTTTATTTGTTTGAGCAGTTAACCCCAAAATAAAAATAATAACATTACATTTAATATTTACAAGGTAGCAAATCATAAACAAAGGAACAAAGGGCAAAGTAACAATAAATGATGAACCAGAACAAAATAAAAACAACAGGCAAAATAAAGAACAAAAGAATGTGCTACTTTTATGTTATAAAGGTGCAATAATACATATTATACTCTGAGATCTTGCTACTTCCCAGTTGTCATTACCATCCTTAATATCATTTAATTTGGGTTTAATTATCATTATTATTATATTTGTTTAATTGAGTTAGCCCTGCATAGTGTGGTGCATTAAAAAGCCAGGTGTAGAACGGGCCAGTTGAAGAGGGCAGTAACTCCCCCTCAACAAACCCCCCCAGCTGCAGTAACTCCCCCTCAACAAACCCCCACAGCTGCAGTAACTCCCCCTCAACAACCCCCCCCCAGCTGCAGTAACTCCCCCTCAACAAACCCCCCCCAGCTGCAGTAACTCCCCTCAACAAACCCCCCCCCCCAGCTGCAGTAACTCCCCCTCAACAAACCCCCCCAGCTGCAGTAACTCCCCTCAACAACCCCCCCCCCCCCAGCTGCAGTAACTCCCCCTCAACAAACCCCCCCCAGCTGCAGTAACTCCCCCTCAACAAACCCCCCCCAGCTGCAGTAACTCCCCCTCAACAAACCCCCCCAGCTGCAGTAACTCCCCCTCAACAAACCCCCCCCCCCCAGCTGCAGTAACTCCCCTCAACAAACCCCCCCCAGCTGCACAGTAACTCCCCCTCAACAAACCCCCCCCAGCTGCAGTAACTCCCCCTCAACAAACCCCCCCAGCTGCAGTAACTCCCCCTCAACAAACCCCCCCCAGCTGCAGAACTCCCCCTCAACAAACCCCCCCAGCTGCAGTAACTCCCCTCAACAAACCCCCCCCAGCTGCAGTAACTCCCCCTCAACAAACCCCCCCCAGCTGCAGTAACTCCCCCTCAACAAACCCCCCCCAGCTGCAGTAACTCCCCCTCAACAAACCCCCCCCAGCTGCAGTAACTCCCCCTCAACAAACCCCCCCCAGCTGCAGTAACTCCCCCTCAACAAACCCCCCCCAGCTGCCCTAACAGCTGATGATGTTCCTATGCTGAGTGGTTTAGAGCCCGTTGGGAGGGTCCCTCTCCACAGATTCATAACTTGCCAACCCTAATTCTCAATTTGTAAATTTATGCAATAGAATGACAACCGTTCCAAGCAGCAACACTCTTCCTTGATCATAGAGGAAACTAAAGGAAACTAAAGGAAACTAAAGGAAACTAAAGGAAACTAAAGGAAACTAAAGGAAACTAAAGGAAACTAAAGGAAACTAGAGGAAACTAAAGGAAATTAAAGGAAACTAAAGGAAACTAAAGGAAACTAAAGGAAACTAAAGGAAACTAGAGGAAACTAAAGGAAACTAAAGGAAACTAAAGGAAACTAGAGGAAACTAAAGGAAATTAAAGGAAACTAAAGGAAACTAAAGGAAATTAAAGGAAACTAAAGGAAACTAAAGGAAACTAAAGGAAACACGTAATTGATCCTCTGGTGGCAACACATTTCTTGTTCACTGTATATTTCAAAAGTCTTTTGTTTGTATTTATATTTGAACAGGTTGATATTTGGACTTCGTTTCAACTCCATTTCCAGTTTATTCCACAATTGTACATCATTAGCTGTTGGGCTAAAACTTTTCAAAGTTGAGCTATGTTTCTGAGTCCTAAAGTTTAATTCGTCACGTAATTCATAACAACAGTTGGTTCTTGGAACCTTCTTTGTATTCGGCTCGGTAACAGATATAACATCTGTACAGTTTGGAACTCAACAATGTCACAAAACTTCATGATCTTTGATTTTAAAAATAATGAGTTTGTGTGGTCCAAAAACCCAACTTTATGAATTACTCGGAAAGCTCTTTTTGCAACAATACTATTGGTTTTAATGTGTTTTTATAAGTACTACCCCAAACCACAGTACAATAATATAAATATGGCAACTTCATATATCAAGATATAAGATGTTTAAAATGTGCTTTGCTTTTGCTATCACTGAAATGCTTCTAGAAATGTTCGTAGATATTTAATATGAGCTTTCCAAGTAATTCTGTCATCTATAATAACACCAAGGAATGTGATTTCACGCACTCGCTCTATGACAATACCCTCGATCTGAATCTGAGCTTTGGAATTACGGTTGCCAAATATCATCATTTTACTTTTACTCAGATTTAGAGATAATTTATTTTGTTTAAACCACTTATTGACACTTTTGGGGGAGGTCGAGAGGTACCGACTAGAGATAGTCGGCCTCACCTCCACACACAGCTTGGGCTCTGGAACCCAACTCCTTGAGAGGGGTTGGACGCTCCACTTTTCTGGTGTTTCTCGCGGGGAGAGGCGGCGAGCTGGGGTGGCCATACTCATTGCCCCCCATCTCAGCCGCCACGTGTTGGAGTTCTCCCCGGTGAATGAGAGGGTCGCGTCCCTCCGCCTCCGGGTGGGGGACAAGTCTCTCATTGTTGTGACGGCCTACGGGCCTAACAGCAGTGCAGAGTACCCGGCCTTCTTGGAGTCCTTGGGAGGGGTACTGGACGGTGCACCGCCCGGGGACTCCGTTATTCTCCTGGGGGACTTCAACGCCCATGGTGGGAAATGCCAGTGACACTTGGAGAGGGGTGATCGGGAAGAATGGCCCCCCTGATCTGAACCCGAGCGGTGTTCAGTTGTTGGACTTCTGTGCCAGTCACAGTTTGTCCATCACGAACACCATGTTTGAGCACAAGGGTGTCCACCAGTGCACGTGGCACCAGGACACCCTAGGCCGGAGGTCGATGATCGACTTTGTTGTCGTATCATCTGACCTTCGGCCGCGTGTTTCGGACACTCGGGTAAAGAGAGGGGCGGAGCTGTCAACCGATCATCACCTGGTCATGAGTTGGATCCGCTGGCAGGGGAAGAAGCCGGTCAGACCTGGCAGACCCAAGCGTGTAGTGAGGGTCTGCTGGGAACGTCTCGCTGAGCCCCCTGTCAGACGGACTTTCAACTCACACCTCCGGGAGAGCTTCTCCCAGGTCCCGGCGGAGGAGGGGGATATTGAGTCTGAGTGGACCATGTTCTCTTCCTCTATCGCCGATGCGGCGGCTCGTAGCTGTGGTCGCAAGGTCTCTGGTGCTGGTCCCGGCGGCAACCCCCTAACCCGGTGGTGGACACCGGCAGTAAGGGATGCCGTCAGGCTGAAGAAGGAGTCCTATCGAGCCATGATGGTTCGGGGGACTCCTGAGGCAGCTGTCCAGTACCGGCTGGCCAAGCGTGCCGCGGCCCGGGCTGTTGCAGAGGCAAAAACCCGGGACTGGGAGGAATTCGGAGAGTCCATGGAGCATGACTATCGGTCGGCCTCGAAGAGATTCTGGCAAACTGTCCGGCGCCTCAGGAGGGGGAAGCAGTTCTTTGCCAACAACGTGTACGGTGCGGGGGGTGAGCTGCTGACCTCGACCGGGGATATTGTCGGACGGTGGAAGGAATACTTTGAGGTTCTCCTCAATCCCCCCGTCACGTCCTCCGCTCCGGAGGCAGAGGCTGAGGATGTTGGGGCGGATACATCCATCTCCCTGGCTGAGGTCACCAAGGTGGTTGGCAGCCTCCCTGGTGGCAAGGCTCCGGGTGTGGATGAGATCCGCCCTGATTATCTAAAGTCTCTGGATGTTGTAGGACTGTCTTGGCTGACACGTCTCTGCAACATCGCGTGGCGATCGGGGGCAGTGCCAATGGAGTGGCAGACCGGGGTGGTGGTCCCTCTCTACAAGAAGGGGGACAGGAGGGTGTGTTCCAATTATCGTGGGATCACACTCCTCAGCCTCCCCGGTAAGGTCTACTCCAGGGTACTGGAGAGGAGGTTACGGCCGATGGTCGAATCTCGGATTCAGGAGGAGCAGTGTGGTTTTCGTCCCGGCCGTGGAACACTGGACCAGCTCTATACTCTCCATCGGATACTCGAGGGTTCATGGGAGTTCGCCCAACCTGTCCACATGTGCTTTGTGGATTTGGAGAAGGCGTTCGACCGTGTTCCCCGGGGTGTCCTTTGGGGGGTCCTCCGTGAGTACGGGGTCCGGGGTCCTCTGCTGAGGGCCGTCCGGTCCCTGTATACAGGGACCGGAGCCAGAGCTGCGTGCGCATTGCCGGCAGTAAGTCAGACCTGTTCCCGGTGAATGTTGGCCTCCGCCAGGGCTGCCCTTTGTCACCGGTTCTGTTCACTGTATTCATGGACAGAATTTCTAGGCGGAGCCAAGGGTCGGAGGGGGTCCGGTTCGGGGACCACAGGATTTCATCTCTGCTGTTTGCAGACGATGTTGTCCTGTTGGCTCCAACGAACCAGGACCTACAACATGCACTGGGACGGTTTGCAGCCGAGTGTGAAGCGGCTGGGATGAGAATCAGCACCTCCAAATCCGAGGCCATGGTGCTCGACCGGAAAAAGGTGCCTTGCCCTCTCCGGGTGGGTGGAGAGGCCCTTCCTCAAGTGGAGGAGTTCAAGTATCTCGGGGTCTTGTTCACGAGTGAGGGAAGAATGGAGCGTGAGATTGACAGGCGGATCGGTGCAGCGTGCGCAGTGATGCGGTCGCTGTATCGGACCGTTGTGGTAAAGAGGGAGCAGCGTCTGCAGTCAGAGCTGTATCGGACCGTTGTGGTAAAGAGGGAGTTGAGCCGAAAGGCAAAGCTCTCAATTTACCGGTCAATCTTCGTCCCCTCCCTCACCTATGGTCATGAGCTTTGGGTAATGACCGAAAGAACAAGATCGCGGATACAAGCGGTCAAAATGAGCTTCCTCCGCAGAGTGGCTGGGCGCTCCCTTAGAGATAGGGTGAGGAGCTCAGTCACACGGGAGGAGCTCGGAGTAGAACCGCTGCTACTCCACGTCGAGAGGAACCAGTTGAGGTGGCTCGGGCATCTGTTCCGGATGCCTCCTGGACGCCTCCCTGGGGAGGTGTTCCGGGCACGTCCCACCGGGAGGAGGCCCCGGGGAAGACCCAGGACACTCTGGAGGGACTATGTCTCTCAGCTGGCCTGGGAACGCCTTGGGGTCCCCCCGGACGAGCTGGAGGAAGTGTGTGTGGATAGGGAAGTCTGGGCGTCTCTGCTTAGACTGCTGCCCCCGCGACCCGGCAACGGATGAAGCGGAAGAAAATGGATGGATGGATGGGTTCCAAGTTAACAATCCGACACAGTTGCTGTAAGTCTTCACCTGATGCAAAAATATTTGTATCGTCTGCAAACAAGATAAATTTAAGTACTTGAGACGTTTTACAAATGTCGTTAATGAACATATTAAACAATTTTGGGCCCAGAATGGAACCTTGAGGTAAACCACACAATTTGTCGACAACTCGACTGATATTCACCTATTTTCACACATTGTTTTCTATCTAGCCAATCAGAAGCCGAGGTACGACATTCTTATGAGGAAAAAAACAACTCTCCTCCAGATCTCGATGAAGCGAGTATCGTCCATGCTCGAGTTGTCTCCACTTCTTTGACTGTCGCCTTTTCTCTGCTAAAAACAAACTGGAAACTTCGTCCGCCATGATGGTTTACTCTGAAGTCACGCTTGATCTCGCGAGAGTTCGTGAGATTTCCGTCGGACGGGAATGCTCAGGGGGGATCGGTTCGTGTGTGGTGTGTGTGGTTAGACCAAAGTGGTTAGACCCATGATTTTTTATCTCTGTGTGTGAGGTCTCACAGGTTTGGAAAACGTCCGACAATTTTAAAATCGTCTCGTGTGAACCAGGCTTAAGTCAGTCTTCTTTATTTATATAGCGCCTTTCACAGACCAGAGTCTCACATGCAGAGATAAGGCAGGAGGCTACAGGAGGCACAGACCTATTGTACATGTTTTTAGTGGTAGGGGAAACCGGAGCACCCGGAGGAAACCGGAGCACCTGGAGGAAACCTACACAGATACAGGGTTTCAAAGAGTCAGTGACAAATCAAGTGAATATTATTGCATCATTGCCCAGTCCTCAGATTCTGAACCCTGAAGACTGAGTCTGAACCCTGAGGACCCAGTCTGAACCCTGAGGACCGAGTCTGAACTCTGAGGACAGAGCCTGAACCCTGAGGACCCAGTCTGAACCCTGAGGACCCAGTCTGAACCCTGAGGACCGAGTCTGAACCCTGAGGACAGAGTCTGAACCCTGAGGACAGAGTCTGAACCCTGAGGACCAAGTCTGAACCCTGAGGACCAAGTCTGAACTCTGAGGACAGAGTCTGAACCCTGAGGACCCAGTCTGAACCCTGAGGACCCAGTCTGAACCCTGAGGACAGAGTCTGAACCTTGAGGACCCAGTCTGAACCCTGAGGACCGAGTCTGAACCCTGAGGACCGAGTCTGAACTCTGAGGACCCAGTCTGAACCCTGAGGACCGAGCCTGAACTCTGAGGACCGAGTCTGGTCCTCCTCCAGGTGCTCCGGTTTCCCCTACCACTAAAACATGTACAACAGGTCTGTGCCTCCTGTACTGGCCCCTCCCATCTCTGTGTGGAGTCACAGACTAATGTAATAACTGTAAACCGCTTTGACTCTGGTCTGAGAAAGGCGCTATATAAATAAACTAAATAAACCTACTTACTTTCCTGAGAAAAGCCACAGTCTCTCGTTAGCGCAGATAATAACCACTGATGTCAACTACTGTGTCTTTGTTACTGCTTTTACAGCAAAACAGACAAATCTTTTAAAAAAAGTTCATTTCTCCTGTGTGAGATCAGTAAAGTCTGTCTGATCTAATCTTAAAAGAAAGTCCCTACAAGAACCAAGAGAGGCCAAGAGAGGCCAAGAGAGGCCAAGAGAGGCCAATAGAGGCCAAGAGAGGCCAAGAGAGCCAAGAGAGCCAAGAGAGGCCAAGAGAGCCAAGAGAGGCCAAGAGAGCCAAGAGAGCCAAGAGAGGCCAAGAGAGGCCAAGAGAGCCAAGAGAGGCCAAGAGAGGCCAAGAGAGGCCAAGAGAGCCAAGAGAGCCAAGAGAGGCCAAGAGAGCCAAGAGAGGCCAAGAGAGCCAAGAGAGGCCAAGAGAGGCCAAGAGAGCCCAAGAGAGCCAAGAGAGGCCAAGAGAGCCAAGAGAGGCCAAGAGAGGCCAAGAGAGCCAAGAGAGGCCAAGAGAGGCCAAGAGAGCCAAGAGAGGCCAAGAGAGCCAAGAGAGGCCAAGAGAGCCAAGAGAGGCCAAGAGAGCCAAGAGAGGCCAAGAGAGGCCAAGAGAGCCAAGAGAGCCAAGAGAGGCCAAGAGAGCCAAGAGAGGCCAAGAGAGCCCAAGAGAGGCCAAGAGAGCCCAAGAGAGCCAAGAGAGGCCAAGAGAGCCAAGAGAGGCCAAGAGAGGCCAAGAGAGCCAAGAGAGGCCAAGAGAGGCCAAGAGAGCCAAGAGAGGCCAAGAGAGGCCAAGAGAGGCCAAGAGAGCCAAGAGAACCCAAGAGAGCCAAGAGAGGCCAAGAGAGCCAAGAGAGGCCAAGAGAGGCCAAGAGAGGCCAAGAGAGCCAAGAGAGGCCAAGCGTCTGAAGGACCCTCCAGTACAAACCTGCTCATCCCAGTGCACCGCAGGATATGGACTAAATTTTCCAAATGAAGACAATAATAAAGTTTGTCCAACTTTAACCTTTTGTAAAGCATCACAGTAAGATGTAGTATTTCATTTATCTATTTTTACTTTTAGAACTTGTTTGCACCTGGAGCCGAAGCAGATTCCTGATGTGTGTTCCTTACAAAGGCCATAAAGGCATTGATTGTTTTATTATCATGAAGTAGAAAGTGCATGAAATCAATACAATAATAAATAGATATAATGTGATTGATCTCACTCTCTCTTGGTTTCAAAGCCTGAACATTTCGCTCACGCCGCTCCCTCTGTATTGTCTTGACCTGACTTTACTGGTTTTGTCTTTAATACCTGTTGAAGGAGCCACGGCTTTCAGAACAATCAGAAGTGGATGAGTAACTGCGGTTAATACGTAAATCGTCAACATTAGGTAATAATTCACCGCCTGCAGGTGAAAGCCAGGTCCCATCAGATTTCTCCAGCGAGAAATTATTATTATTATTATTATTATCATTATTATTATTATTATTATTATTATCATTATTATTATTATTATTATTATCATTATTATCATTATTATTATTATTATTATTATTATTATTATCATTATTATTATTATTATTATTATTATTATCATTATCAGTATCAGTATCATTATTATTATTATTATCTTTATCATTATTATTATTATTATTATCATTATCATTATTATTATTATTATTATCATTATTATTATCATTATCATTATTATTATAATTATTATCATTATCATTATCATTATTATTATTATTATTATCATTATCATTATCATTATCATTATTATTATTATTATTATTATCATTATCATTATTATTATTATCATTATCATTATCATTATCATTATCATTATTATCATTATCATTATTATTATTATTATTATCATTATCATTATTATTATCATTATCATTATCATTATCAATAATAATAATAATAATACATTTTATTTATATTGCACTTTACATTTCAAAGAAACCTCAAAGTGCTACAACAGGTAAATTAAAATCAGATAAAACAAAATGAACATGACATAGTAAAACAAAGCAAGCACAAGAGCAAAAACAAACTAAAAGGCCTTTTTAAATAAATGTGTTTTCAGGCCTTTTTTAAAGGCCTCAACACTCTGGGGAGCCCTCAGGGTCTCTGGCAGGGCGTTCCAGAGTCTAGGGGCAACTGCCTTAAAGGCCCTATCTCCCATTGTGGAGAGCTTGGTCACGGGCTGGTGAAGAGTATGGGTGGAAGTGGACCGTAAGCGCCTTGTGGTGGTGTGTGGAGTAACTAGCTCAGTGAGGTATGTCGGGGCTGTTCCATGGACACATTGGTATGTGAGGAGGCAGATTTTATAGTGGATTCTGTATTGGATGGGCAGCCAATGAAGAGACTGGAGGACAGGGGTGATGTGGTACTTGCGCCTCCTCGTCAGGATCCTGGCTGCACAGTTCTGGATGTGCTGGAGCTTCAGCAGGCTCTTACCAGGGATCCCGACGAGGAGGGCATTGCAGTAGTCCAGCCTGGAGGAGACAAAGGCATGTACCAATTTCTCAGCATCTGTCTGTGAGAGGGAGGGGCGGAGTTTGGCAATATTTTGTAGATGATGGAAAGACACTTTGCAGAGGTGGCGGAGATGATTCTCAAATGAAAGATGAGGATCAAATCTGACCCCTAGGTTTGTAACAGAGGAGGAAAGGGGAATGTTATGGCCCGAGACATGAATATTGGATATGGTGGATGACTGGATTTGGTGCCGGGTGCCAATCAAGATGGCTTCAGTTTTGCTACTATTCAACTGGAGGAAGTTGCTAGTCATCCATGCCTTTATCTCCTCCAGGCAGGTGTGGAGTGTGGCCGGTGGGACTGAGGAGGATGTGGAGTCAATTTTCATGTACAGCTGCGTATCATCAGCGTAACAGTGAAAAGAGACTTGATGGTTTCTGATTACCTGGCCTAGGGGGAGCATGTAGATTGTAAAAAGGACCGGCCCCAGGACCGATCCTTGAGGGACCCCACAGGTAACTGTGTGGGGCAACGATTTAGCCTCCCCCAGGGCGACACACTCCTTTCTTCCTGTGAGGTATGAGCGGAACCAATCTAGGGTATTATCGGTGAGGCCAACAACTGACTGGAGCCGATGGAGTAGGACCTGATGGTCCACGGTGTCAAAAGCGGCTGACAGATCCAAGAGGACCAGGAGAGATGGTGAGCCCTGATCTGCAGCCATCAGCAAGTCATTTGTGACTCTCACCAAGGCTGTCTCTGTGCTGTGTGCTGACCGGAAACCTGATTGGAATTTTTCGTACAGATTATGTGTTTGAAGATGATGATGAAGCTGGGCTGCAACAACCTTCTCCAGGACCTTGGATAAAAACAGTATAATTATTATTATTATCATTATCATTATTATTATTATTATTATTATCATTATCATTATTATTATTATTATTATTATCATTATCATTATCATTATTATCATTATCATTATTATTATTATCATTATCATTATCATTATTATCATTATCATTATTATTATTATCATTATCATTATCATTATTATCATTATCATTATTATTATTATCATTATCATTATCATTATTATCATTATCATTATTATTATTATCATTATTATTATTATTATCATTATCATGTGTCTTCTATGTGGCTCCCTCAACACTAAACTGCACCAATGCGTTACATTTTAGTCAATGACACATAAAAGTACCTCTGCTCTCATTGGACGAGCACGCTTCACCAGAATGATTGACAACTGGGAGGACCAATAGTCTTTAAATACGTTATTTTTAAATGCGTCCTTTATGTTTTTGAGCCCGTCTGAGATTATCCTGTGTCTATTTACAAACTACATAGTGTTAAAATGTAGTGTTATTTTTAGTTCATACATAAAAAAAAAATTCTGCTTGAAGTTGGATTGACACGATGGCACAGCCCTTCTTGCTGTTAGTGGTGGTGGAATTTGCATGTTCTCCCTGTGTCTGCGTGCACAATAGTGTGATGAGTGAGTGAAGGATGGTGAAGGTCGGGGCTGGAGTGCGGCGTCTCCGTCCTCACGTGTTGGGACTGAATCAGTGGGCAGGTTCTGACCCTAAGAACCAAGAGGATGGCGCTGGGCAGGTTCTGACCCTAAGAACCAAGAGGATGGCGCTGGGAAGGTTCTGACCCTAAGAACCAAGAGGATGGCGCTGGGCAGGTTCTGACCATAAGAACCAGGAGGACGGCGCTGGGAAGGAACTAACCCTAAGAACCAAGAGGACGGCGCTGGGAATGTTCTAACCCTAAGAACCAAGAGGACGGCGCTGGGCAGGTTCTGACCCTAAGAACCAAGAGGATGGCACTGGGAAGGTTCTAACCCTAAGAACCAAGAGGACGGCGCTGGGAAGGTTCTAACCCTAAGAACCAAGAGGACGGCGCTGGGAAGGTTCTAACCCTAAGAACCAAGAGGACGGCACTGGGAAGGTTCTAACCCTAAGAACCAAGAGGACGGCGCTGGGAAGGTTCTAACCCTAAGAACCAAGAGGACGGCGCTGGGAATGTTCTAACCCTAAGAACCAAGAGGACGGCGCTGGGAAGGTTCTAACCCTAAGAACCAAGAGGACGGCGCTGGGAAGGTTCTAACCCTAAGAACCAAGAGGACGGCGCTGGGAAGGTTCTAACCCTAAGAACCAAGAGGACGGCGCTGGGCAGGTTCTGACCCTAAGATCCAAGAGGACGGCACTGGGAAGGTTCTAACCCTAAGAACCAAGAGGACGGCACTGGGAAGGTTCTGACCCTAAGATCCAAGAGGACGGCACTGGGAAGGTTCTAACCCTAAGAACCAAGAGGACGGCGCTGGGAAGGTTCTGACCCTAAGAACCAAGAGGACGGGAGAGGATTGCTTTAGTTCCAGTTAACGGATGCAATGTTGAGATAATCACAAGTGAAAACAACGGAGGTACTGGGGCGGCAGCAGCCAGCGGAGAATTAGCTTTGAAATGATGTATAACATGCCATTGTAGACTATACTAACCTAGTACCGTTATGTAAGTAATGTTTAATTTATACAGCGCATTATACAGACTTTCCAAAGTTCATCATTATCATTATCATTATTATCATTATCATTATTATTATTATCATTATCATTATCATTATTATCATTATCATTATTATTATTATCATTATTATTATTATTATCATTATCATGTGTCTTCTATGTGGCTCCCTCAACACTAAACTGCACCAATGTGTTACATTTTAGTCAATGACACATAAAAGTACCTCTGCTCTCATTGGACGAGCACGCTTCACCAGAATGATTGACAACTGGGAGGACCAATAGTCTTTAAATACGTTATTTTTAAATGCGTCCTTTATGTTTTTGAGCCCGTCTGAGATTATCCTGTGTCTATTTACAAACTACATAGTGTTAAAATGTAGTGTTATTTTTAGTTCATACATAAAAAAAAAATTCTGCTTGAAGTTGGATTGACACGATGGCACAGCCCTTCTTGCTGTTAGTGGTGGTGGAATTTGCATGTTCTCCCTGTGTCTGCGTGCACAATAGTGTGATGAGTGAGTGAAGGATGGTGAAGGTCGGGGCTGGAGTGCGGCGTCTCCGTCCTCACGTGTTGGGACTGAATCAGTGGGCAGGTTCTGACCCTAAGAACCAAGAGGATGGCGCTGGGCAGGTTCTGACCATAAGAACCAAGAGGGTGGCACTGGGCAGGTTCTGACCCTAAGAACCAAGAGGATGGCACTGGGCAGGTTCTGACCATAAGAACCAGGAGGACGGCGCTGGGAAGGAACTAACCCTAAGAACCAAGAGGACGGCGCTGGGAATGTTCTAACCCTAAGAACCAAGAGGATGGCGCTGGGCAGGTTCTGACCCTAAGAACCAAGAGGATGGCGCTGGGAAGGTTCTGACCCTAAGAACCAAGAGGATGGCGCTGGGAAGGTTCTAACCCTAAGAACCAAGAGGACGGCGCTGGGAAGGTTCTAACCCTAAGAACCAAGAGGACGGCACTGGGAAGGTTCTAACCCTAAGAACCAAGAGGACGGCGCTGGGAAGGTTCTAACCCTAAGAACCAAGAGGACGGCGCTGGGAATGTTCTAACCCTAAGAACCAAGAGGACGGCGCTGGGAAGGTTCTAACCCAAAGAACCAAGAGGACGGCGCTGGGAAGGTTCTGACCCTAAGATCCAAGAGGACGGCGCTGGGAAGGTTCTAACCCTAAGAACCAAGAGGACGGCGCTGGGCAGGTTCTGACCCTAAGATCCAAGAGGACGGCACTGGGAAGGTTCTAACCCTAAGAACCAAGAGGACGGCACTGGGAAGGTTCTGACCCTAAGATCCAAGAGGACGGCGCTGGGAAGGTTCTAACCCTAAGAACCAAGAGGACGGCGCTGGGAAGGTTCTGACCCTAAGAACCAAGAGGACGGGAGAGGATTGCTTTAGTTCCAGTTAACGGATGCAATGTTGAGATAATCACAAGTGAAAACAACGGAGGTACTGGGGCGGCAGCAGCCAGCGGAGAATTAGCTTTGAAATGATGTATAACATGCCATTGTAGACTATACTAACCTAGTACCGTTATGTAAGTAATGTTTAATTTATACAGCGCATTATACAGACTTTCCAAAGTTCAGAGTCAGATATTGTTCCAGTCCTTCCACACACGGTGATGACAGAAGCGAGTCCAGAACACACTGGACCATCAAAGCCTCTGACCCAACACCATCCACTCACTCTCTCATTTACATTCAGACCTATTGTGCATGGTTTTAATGGTAGGGGAAACCGGAGCACCCGGAGGAAACCTAGGCAGCAAACTCAGAAAGGCCCTGTTCCGACCGGGATTCGAACCCAAGACCTTCTTGCTGAAAAGCGAGAGTGCTAACCACTCAGCCACTGCACCTCCCTTAAAAAAAGCTGCAACTAAACAATAATGATGGAAAAGACCAGCAGCAAGCGGCGTTGAACGGCCCAAACTATGCCAACAGTGAGTTGTGAGGCAGCGTCACGCTTCACAGAAGGATTTAGATCAATTTCCCCCGTCGTGAGAGTTCTCACAGATCATGGATAACTGGACGTTCAAGTTTGAACTTTTGGTTTTCTAGAAAGCTCTCGGCCTCTATTTTTTTTTCTTAATTGTGGAGCTCAGGCCTGATCAGAATTCTGTTTTAACACTCGTCTGAGATCGGCATTCTGGGTATTCATTCAATGTAGGTCTTTTATTGTGTTATTTAATTATTATTACACAGTTCCGTTCAGCAGCAGTAGAACGCTCCATTCAATATCATTTCAAATTGTTATAATTATTTCTTAATAACAGACTTCTGAAACCAATAACGCCTTGTAATTCAGGTGTGTAAATATCACTCCGCAAGTAGTTCCGGCTGACGAGCTTTTAGTGTCTGCCTCCACTTCTGTCTCCGTGAGAGAAGCTGCTCCGTAAACACAAATATCAACAATACATTATAGAGAGATACATTCTTAACACACGTGCACAGAGGCGCAGAATTAACTGGTAACGTTTTAATGACACAAATACTGTTTTAATGACACAAATACTGTTTTAATGACACAAATACTGTTTTAATGACACAAATACTGTTTTAATGACACAAATACTGTTTTAATGACACAAATACTGTTTTAATGACACAAATACTGTTTTAATGACACAAAATGCGATGGCGGAAACATTAACATTAAAACATTAACATTAAAACATTAACATTAAAACATTATCATTAAAACCTTAAAATTAAAACATAATTAAAACATTAAAACATAATTAAAACATGTAGTAGAGACGCTGACGAGCTTTCTTAACGACTCGGTCAGTGTTTTTAACCCATTTCAGGTTAGACAGAGTTAAACCCAGAAACTTGCACTCCTCTACGATCTGCACCTGGGAGTTGTCGATTACGACAGGCAAATGAGAACTATTGCGACTGAAGTCGTAGACCAGTTCACATGTTTTGGATGCGTTCAGCTGGAGGTTGTTAGTTTGACTCCACTGAACCACATGCCTAGCACATATTGTGTGTGATCCCTGTGTGCTCTTACTACTGTCCTATATGTGCGCTGCAACATCGAAATTTCCCCACTGTGGGACGAATAAAGGAATTCTTTTCTTATCTTAGCCGTTACTAGCCTAGCCGTTACTAGCCTAGCTGTTACTAGCCTAGCTGTTACTAGCCTAGCCGTTACTAGCCTTATTTGTATATAGTGTGATTCAGATTCAGATTCAGTTTATTTGCCATTTGCAGTAAAAACACCACATTGGAATACATTAGCAAAAGTGTCCAGTGTGCACAGACAAATACAGACATAAAACAACATTAAAAGACAAAAATAAAACAAATAAAACAGTAAACAAATGTCACTGTGAAATCGATCGACTAAAACAGTTTCAAAACAATTGCAAATCATTAAAGTGCTCTGTTCACACTGATAACAGCCTGTGGATAAAAACTGTTAGCGTAACGAGATGTCCTGCATCTCAGAGAGCGATATCTTCTGCCAGAGGGAAGAAGCTGGAACATGGCTTTCCCAGGGTGGCCAGAAGAGTCATTAACAATCCTAAGAGCTTTGTTTAAAAGTCTAGATTTATAAAGAACCTCCAGAACAGGAAGCTCACAGCCCACGGTCGAACATTGACTCCAATGTTTTATACTGTGAACATGTTCATTCATATGTTTGTCTAATTTGATTTACTGTGAGCAGAGGTGAACAACAGATAATTGCCAACGCACTGATGACGTTGGAATGTGTTTGTGACGCGTGTTTTGTTTTTGGGAGGTTCTATGTTTATTCAATAATGCCATAATTATTTCAGTGATAGACAACAAAGAGCACCGATCCCAATTGAGATGAAGAACACAAAGACAGAAATGTACAGATTGCTTCATTGAAAGAAGCGGCTCCACCCAGAGAACAATATCACAGCCTTTTCTATGCTCTGATATTAAAGGAGCTGAACCCAAAGCTGCTCAGTCACAACCCTGGATTATCTGCACTGCACACACGCTGCAAAACTGTAAGTAACATATTTATTAGTTACAGAATAATTAACCCCAAAACAGGTCTAGTTGGGCCGAACCCTAAAGCTCAGAATCGGGTTTTAGTTTTTTCAACATATTCCATGACATGGTCCAATCAGAGCTCTGCATTCTGAATGGAAGATTTGATAATACGCAAAGAAAGATTTTACATTTGTTTTAATACTGATTGAATCAAATTCTTAAATTCTGTGAGAAAATAACAACCAAAATCAGTGATGGCACTTTTTATCAGAACAGTGATAATATGGAAAAAACATGAAAAGAATTTTACATTTTGTTTATTAAATACAGACATGAGATCGTTCCATGTCGTGTCCAGAAGAACAACTGGTGAGGATTAAAGTCAATTCAAATGTGTGGCTGAGTGGTTAGCACTCAGGTCCTGGGTTTGAATCCTGGTCGGATCAGCATCTTCCGGTATTTTATCTAATTAAATTCTATACAATAGAAATAGTACAATCCATAGTTAATGTATTAGAGGCGAGTGGTTCTGATGATGATTTAATAATTTTAATGTTTTAAGCTTTTTAACTACTGTGTGATTTTATTGCTGTTGTATGTTTTTCAAATATCTTGGTTTATGCGTGCTGGGATTTGGGTTGTCTGGCGTTTTGTGTTGCCTTGTGTAGGAAAGGTGCTGTACAAGTAAACATGGATTGATTGAGATGGAAAACTCTGCAAAGATTGTGAAGTGAAGTTCAGAGCATCAACTCTGCGTAGTTTGTCTTTTGGATTTTAGTAACTCCTGAAAGACTCCGTGACCTCGGTGTGTCAGCAGACGGCCTCACGGCCTCACGGCCTCACGGCCTCACGGCCTCACTGCCTCACTGCCTCACTGCCTCACTGATCACCGCCTCACGGCCTCACTGCCTCACTGCCTCACTGCCTCACTGCCTCACTGCCTCACTGCCTCACTGCCTCACTGCCTCACTGCCTCACTGCCTCACTGCCTCACTGGACTCACTCATCCAGAGAAAAAAATCCGTGCTTTATACAAGGCACAATGTGTCTATCCAACTGTCTGAGAAACTGTATGTTATTGCTCTCTGCTGTTTATTCTACTGTTTGTCGCATGGCGCCGTAAAGATGGCGCCGTGGCAAGAGCTCTGGTGTGTGTCGTCTCCTCTGTCTGGTGCACACCGGGGTAGTCTTGCACAGTTTTTCCAATGTGGTTTTACTGCAAATGGCAAATAAATGAATCTGAATCTGATCTGATCACTGGAAAATGAAACCTCCTCGTCTTCTCAAAGTGTGTGAGACAAGATCATCAAACTGGGAGAGCTTTTTTCCCGCTCTGTGACTCTGGTCTGTGACTCTGGTCTGTGACTCTGGTCTGTGCCTCTGGTCTGTGACTCTGGTCTGTGACTCTGGTCTGTGACTCTGGTCTGTGACTCTGGTCTGTGCCTCTGGTCTGTGCCTCTGGTCTGTGACTCTGGTCTGTGCCTCTGGTCTGTGCCTCTGGTCTGTGCCTCTGGTCTGTGACTCTGGTCTGTGACTCTGGTCTGTGCCTCTGGTCTGTGCCTCTGGTCTGTGACTCTGGTCTGTGACTCTGGTCTGTGCCTCTGGTCTGTGACTCTGGTCTGTGACTCTGGTCTGTGCCTCTGGTCTGTGCCTCTGGTCTGTGACTCTGGTCTGTGACTCTGGTCTGTGCCTCTGGTCTGTGCCTCTGGTCTGTGACTCTGGTCTGTGACTCTGGCAGTGTATAAACACAGATTACTTAGTTCATGATGTCTTAAAGATCAACTGGGACAGACTTGATTAAAATCTTCTACACATGAACCCTGGGACTGTTTTTAATCGACATGCACCATGGTCAGAGACCAGAGCTAAAGGACCATCGACATGCACCATGGTCAGAGACCAGAGCTAAAGGACCATCGACATGCACCATGGTCAGAGACCAGAGCTAAAGGACCATCGACATGCACCATGGTCAGAGACCAGAGCTAAAGGACCATCGACATGCACCATGGTCAGAGACCAGAGCTAAAGGACTATCGACATGCACCATGGTCAGAGACCAGGGCTAAAGGACCATCGACATGCACCATGGTCAGAGACCAGTGCTAAAGGACCATCGACATGCACCATGGTCAGAAACCAGAGCTAAAGGACCATCGACATGCACCATGGTCAGAGACCAGGGCTAAAGGACTATCGACATGCACCATGGTCAGAGACCAGGGCTAAAGGACCATCGACATGCACCATGGTCAGAGACCAGGGCTAAAGGACCATCGACATGTACCATGGTCAGAGACCAGGGCTAAAGGACCATCGACATGTACCATGGTCAGAAACCAGAGCTAAAGGACCATCGACATGCACCATGGTCAGAGACCAGGGCTAAAGGACCATCGACATGCACCATGGTCAGAGACCAGGGCTAAAGGACCATCGACATGCACCATGGTCAGAGACCAGGGCTAAAGGACCATCGACATGCACCATGGTCAGAGACCAGGGCTAAAGGACCATCGACATGGACCATGGTCAGAGACCAGAGCTAAAGGACCATCGACATGCACCATGGTCAGAGACCAGGGCTAAAGGACCATCGACATGCACCATGGTCAGAGACCAGAGCTAAAGGACCATCGACATGCACCATGGTCAGAGACCAGAGCTAAAGGACCATCGACATGCACCATGGTCAGAGACCAGGGCTAAAGGACCATCGACATGCACCATGGTCAGAGACCAGAGCTAAAGGACCATCGACATGCACCATGGTCAGAGACCAGAGCTAAAGGACCATCGACATGCACCATGGTCAGAGACCAGGGCTAAAGGACCATCGACATGCACCATGGTCAGAGACCAGAGCTAAAGGACCATCGACATGCACCATGGTCAGAGACCAGGGCTAAAGGACCATCGACATGCACCATGGTCAGAGACCAGAGCTAAAGGACCATCGACATGCACCATGGTCAGAGACCAGGGCTAAAGGACCATCGACATGCACCATGGTCAGAGACCAGGGCTAAAGGACCATCGACATGCACCATGGTCAGAGACCAGAGCTAAAGGACCATCGACATGCACCATGGTCAGAGACCAGGGCTAAAGGACCATCGACATGCACCATGGTCAGAGACCAGAGCTAAAGGACCATCGACATGCACCATGGTCAGAGACCAGAGCTAAAGGACCATCGACATGCACCATGGTCAGAGACCAGAGCTAAAGGACTATCGACATGCACCATGGTCAGAGACCAGGGCTAAAGGACCATCGACATGCACCATGGTCAGAGACCAGGGCTAAAGGACCATCGACATGCACCATGGTCAGAAACCAGAGCTAAAGGACCATCGACATGCACCATGGTCAGAGACCAGGGCTAAAGGACTATCGACATGCACCATGGTCAGAGACCAGGGCTAAAGGACCATCGACATGCACCATGGTCAGAGACCAGGGCTAAAGGACCATCGACATGTACCATGGTCAGAGACCAGGGCTAAAGGACCATCGACATGTACCATGGTCAGAAACCAGAGCTAAAGGACCATCGACATGCACCATGGTCAGAGACCAGGGCTAAAGGACCATCGACATGCACCATGGTCAGAGACCAGGGCTAAAGGACCATCGACATGCACCATGGTCAGAGACCAGGGCTAAAGGACCATCGACATGCACCATGGTCAGAGACCAGGGCTAAAGGACCATCGACATGGACCATGGTCAGAGACCAGAGCTAAAGGACCATCGACATGCACCATGGTCAGAGACCAGGGCTAAAGGACCATCGACATGCACCATGGTCAGAGACCAGAGCTAAAGGACCATCGACATGCACCATGGTCAGAGACCAGAGCTAAAGGACCATCGACATGCACCATGGTCAGAGACCAGGGCTAAAGGACCATCGACATGCACCATGGTCAGAGACCAGAGCTAAAGGACCATCGACATGCACCATGGTCAGAGACCAGAGCTAAAGGACCATCGACATGCACCATGGTCAGAGACCAGGGCTAAAGGACCATCGACATGCACCATGGTCAGAGACCAGAGCTAAAGGACCATCGACATGCACCATGGTCAGAGACCAGGGCTAAAGGACCATCGACATGCACCATGGTCAGAGACCAGAGCTAAAGGACCATCGACATGCACCATGGTCAGAGACCAGGGCTAAAGGACCATCGACATGCACCATGGTCAGAGACCAGGGCTAAAGGACCATCGACATGCACCATGGTCAGAGACCAGAGCTAAAGGACCATCGACATGCACCATGGTCAGAGACCAGGGCTAAAGGACCATCGACATGCACCATGGTCAGAGACCAGGGCTAAAGGACCATCGACATGCACCATGGTCAGAAACCAGAGCTAAAGGACCATCGACATGCACCATGGTCAGAGACCAGAGCTAAAGGACTATCGGACATGCACCATGGTCAGAGACCAGGGCTAAAGGACCATCGACATGCACCATGGTCAGAGACCAGGGCTAAAGGACCATCGACATGTACCATGGTCAGAGACCAGGGCTAAAGGACCATCGACATGTACCATGGTCAGAGACCAGAGCTAAAGGACCATCGACATGCACCATGGTCAGAGACCAGGGCTAAAGGACCATCGACATGCACCATGGTCAGAGACCAGAGCTAAAGGACCATCGACATGCACCATGGTCAGAGACCAGAGCTAAAGGACCATCGACATGCACCATGGTCAGAGACCAGAGCTAAAGGACCATCGACATGCACCATGGTCAGAGACCAGGGCTAAAGGACCATCGACATGCACCATGGTCAGAGACCAGAGCTAAAGGACCATCGACATGCACCATGGTCAGAGACCAGGGCTAAAGGACCATCGACATGCACCATGGTCAGAGACCAGGGCTAAAGGACCATCGACATGCACCATGGTCAGAGACCAGGGCTAAAGGACCATCGACATGCACCATGGTCAGAGACCAGAGCTAAAGGACCATCAACAGTTAGAGCTAAATCACAGTTGACGTTGTTCCAGGAGCGAGTCTGTCCCGTTTCTCTTAAACATAAAACCACTCCCAGTGTTGATCAATTCAGAAATCTGGGCTTAGGCCTGACTCATCAGCGTCATTTAACAAACTCTTGGTGTCAATCAATCACAGGGACATAACTGATCACAGGGACATAACTGATCACAGGGACATAACTGATCACAGGGACATAACTGATCACAGGGACATAACTGATCACAGGGACATAACTGATCACAGGGACATAACTGATCACAGGGACATAACTGATCCAAAGACTCCTGCGTGGCTCCTGGTGTACTCTCCCTCTGCAGGTGTACTCTCCCTCTGTGCAGGTGTACTCTCCCTCTGCAGGTGTACTCTCCCTCTGTGCAGGTGTACTCTCCCTCTGCAGGTGTACTCTCCCTCTGTGCAGGTGTACTCTCCCTCTGCAGGTGTACTCTCCCTCTGTGCAGGTGTACTCTCCCTCTGCAGGTGTACTCTCCCTCTGTGCAGGTGTACTCTCCCTCTGCAGGTGTACTCTCCCTCTGTGCAGGTGTACTCTCCCTCTGCAGGTGTACTCTCCCTCTGCAGGTGTACTCTCCCTCTGCCTGTGCAGGTGTACTCTCCCTCTGCCTGTGCAGGTGTTCTCTCCCTCTGCAGGTGTACTCTCCCTCTGCAGGTGTACTCTCCCTCTGCCTGTGCAGGTGTACTCTCCCTCTGCAGGTGTACTCTCCCTCTGCCTGTGCAGGTGTACTCTCCCTCTGCAGGTGTACTCTCCCTCTGCCTGTGCAGGTGTACTCTCCCTCTGCAGGTGTACTCTCCCTCTGCAGGTGTACTCTCCCTCTGCCTGTGCAGGTGTACTCTCCCTCTGCCTGTGCAGGTGTACTCTCCCTCTGCAGGTGTACTCTCCCTCTGCCTGTGCAGGTGTACTCTCCCTCTGCAGGTGTACTCTCCCTCTGCCTGTGCAGGCGTACTCTCCCTCTGCAGGTGTACTCTCCCTCTGCCTGTGCAGGTGTACTCTCCCTCTGCAGGTGTACTCTCCCTCTGCAGATGTACTCTCCCTCTGCCTGTGCAGGCGTACTCTCCCTCTGCCTGTGCACGTGTACTCTCCCTCTGCAGGTGTACTCTCCCTCTGCAGGTGTACTCTCCCTCTGCCTGTGCACGTGTACTCTCCCTGTGCAGGTGTACTCTCCCTCTGCCTGTGCAGGCGTACTCTCCCTCTGCAGGTGTACTCTCCCTCTGCCTGTGCAGGTGTACTCTCCCTCTGCAGGTGTACTCTCCCTCTGCCTGTGCAGGCGTACTCTCCCTCTGCAGGTGTACTCTCCCTCTGCCTGTGCAGGTGTACTCTCCCTCTGCAGGTGTACTCTCCCTCTGCCTGTGCAGGTGTACTCTCCCTCTGCAGGTGTACTCTCCCTCTGCCTGTACAGGTGTACTCTTCCTCTGTAGGTGTACTCTCCCTCTGCCTGTGCAGGCGTACTCTCCCTCTGCCTGTGCACGTGTACTCTCCCTCTGCAGGTGTACTCTCCCTCTGCCTGTGCAGGCGAACTCTCCCTCTGCAGGTGTACTCTCCCTCTGCCTGTGCAGGTGTACTCTCCCTCTGCAGGTGTACTCTCCCTCTGCCTGTGCAGGCGTACTCTCCCTCTGCAGGTGTACTCTCCCTCTGCCTGTGCAGGTGTACTCTCCCTCTGCAGGTGTACTCTCCCTCTGCCTGTACAGGTGTACTCTTCCTCTGCAGGTGTACTCTCCCTCTGCCTGTGCAGGCGTACTCTCCCTCTGCCTGTGCACATGTACTCTCCCTCTGCAGGTGTACTCTCCCTCTGCCTGTGCAGGCGTACTCTCCCTCTGCACTCTCCCTCTGCAGGTGTACTCTCCCTCTGCCTGTGCAGGTGTACTCTCCCTCTGCCTGTGCAGGTGTACTCTCCCTCTGCCTCTCCCTCTGCAGGTGTACTCTCCCTCTGCAGGTGTACTCTCCCTGTGGTCCAGGCCTCAGCTTCGCTGTCTGTTCATTTTAAATGTGTCAATCGAAGACTACTTAAAACATCATCTGATACTTTTCCAGTCCTATTCACTTTGCGTCGTACAGACCAATCTGGGAGGTTCCAAGAGTCAAAAAATAAAAAAAGTTCATTCAGTTTCAAAGCACCCTCTGAGTGACACATCCGACCGTTGTGGGTTTGTCTGGTTCTTTATCAATTTAAATAATGTCTGCTTCACGGTGGTTACACCAAGTGTAACCCGTTACTTTTTAACCAAAGCAAAAGAAACAAATAAAAAAACATTAGAAAAACAAAAAACTTCAGCATTTCAGGCCAAGAACATTGGTTCTGTGGAGGAACTGGGAGTTTAATCCTCCGCTTAATCCAAACCCCTTTTTAAGCATGTCATGTAACATCAATCAGTCCTTTATTATCTCACACAGATGGAGAAATTCAGTGGATTAGAAAGAAAGACATTTTAGCCTCGACAGGAAGTGAAACCATTTGTGCTCTTGGACAAAGCAAACCAGAGTTTGAGCTTTAACAATTCTAGAAAGTGGGTTTCTGATGGAAATAAAGGATCATGTTGTCAGTTCTCAGTGGAGTTTGTATGTTCTCCATGTGTCTGCATAGGTTTCCTCCAGGTGCTCCAGGTTCTCCTTCCACTAAAAACATGTAAATAAGGTCTGGCACGTGCCTCCTGTGCTGGCCCCGCTCTGTCTCTGTGTGGAGTCAAACACACACACAACTATTGTAAAGTGCTTTTTGACTCTGAAGGGAGCTATATCACTGACTCACTTAAATAAATAAAAACATACTTAGTGATGATTGCAGAGAATATCAGAACAACACGCGCTAAAACACAGTGTACAACGTCCACACGGCTCTAAAAACAGCTTCATGTGTTCGGACGTTGGTCTCTGTCAAATACATCTGTGAAGCTTCTTTCATTAAAGGTGTTTGTCTTTGGGCAGGTTTGAGATGCTCTTCAAAGTGTGTGTGGCTGTGATGCTCCTGCTCGGTGAGTACACACACACACACAGACACACACACACACACACACACAACACACACACAGACACACACACACAAACACACACACACACACACACACACACAACACACACACACACACACACACACACACACACACAACACAAGACATGTCACATAAACACACACACACACACACACACACACACACACAGACACACACACACAAACACACACACACACACACACACACACACACAACACACACACACACACAGACACACACACACAAACACACACACACAACACACACACACACACACACACACACACACACACACACACACAGACACACACACACACACACACACACACACACACACACACACACACACAAACACACACACACATACACACACACACACACAGACACACACATACACACACAAACACAGACACACACACACACACATACACACACAACACACACACACACAACACACACACACAGACACACACACACACACATACACACACAACACACACACACACACAGACACACACACACACACACATACACACACACACACAAACACAGACACACACACACACACACACAAACACACAAACACACACAGACACACACACACACACACAACACACAAACACATACACATACACACACAACACACAAACAAATACACACACACATATACACACACAAACGCACACACAAACACAAACACACACACACACAAACACATACACACACGACACACAAACACATACACACACAACACACATACACACACAACACACACACACATACACACAAAACACACACACACCCACACACACATACAAACACACAAACACAAACACACACATACACACACAAACACACACACACTTTTAAATATGTTAAACATGTAAAGAATTAATGAACTGTGTTTCATGCAGCAAAGAGCGATGGAGCAACCACTCAGCCTATAGGTCTGTGCCTCCTGTAGCCTCCTGCCTTATCTCTGCATGTGAGACTCTGGTCTGTGAAAGGCGCTATATAAATAAAGAAGACTGACTTAAGCCTGGTTCACACGAGACGATTTTAAAATTGTCGGACGTTTTCCAAACCTGTGAGACCTCACACACAGAGATAAAAAATCATGGGTCTAACCACTTTGGTCTAACCACACACACCACACACGAACCGATCCCCCCTGAGCATTCCCGTCCGACGGAAATCTCACGAACTCTCGCGAGATCAAGCGTGACTTCAGAGTAAACCATCATGGCGGACGAAGTTTCCAGTTTGTTTTTAGCAGAGAAAAGGCGACAGTCAAAGAAGTGGAGACAACTCGAGCATGGACGATACTCGCTTCATCGAGATCTGGAGGAGAGTTGTTTTTTCCTCATAAGAATGTCGTACCTCGGCTTCTGATTGGCTAGATAGAAAACAATGTGTGAAAATAGGTGAATATCAGTCGAGTTGTCGACAAATTGTGTGGTTTACCTCAAGGTTCCATTCTGGGCCCAAAATTGTTTAATATGTTCATTAACGACATTTGTAAAACGTCTCAAGTACTTAAATTTATCTTGTTTGCAGACGATACAAATATTTTTGCATCAGGTGAAGACTTACAGCAACTGTGTCGGATTGTTAACTTGGAACCCATCCATCCATCCATTTTCTTCCGCTTCATCCGTTGCCGGGTCGCAGGGGCAGCAGTCTAAGCAGAGACGCCCAGACTTCCCTATCCACACACACTTCCTCCAGCTCGTCCGGGGGGACCCCAAGGCGTTCCCAGGCCAGCTGAGAGACATAGTCCCTCCAGAGTGTCCTGGGTCTTCCCCGGGGCCTTCTCCCGGTGGGACGTGCCCGGAACACCTCCCCAGGGAGGCGTCCAGGAGGCATCCGGAACAGATGCCCGAGCCACCTCAACTGGTTCCTCTCGACGTGGAGTAGCAGCGGTTCTACTCCGAGCTCCTCCCGTGTGACTGAGCTCCTCACCCTATCTCTAAGGGAGCGCCCAGCCACTCTGCGGAGGAAGCTCATTTTGACCGCTTTTATCCGCGATCTTGTTCTTTCGGTCATTACCCAAAGCTCATGACCATAGGTGAGGGAGGGGACGAAGATTGACCGGTAAATTGAGAGCTTTGCCTTTCGGCTCAACTCCCTCTTTACCACAACGGTCCGATACAGCTCTGACTGCAGACGCTGCTCCCTCTTTACCACAACGGTCCGATACAGCGACCGCATCACTGCGCACGCTGCACCGATCCGCCTGTCAATCTCACGCTCCATTCTTCCCTCACTCGTGAACAAGACCCCGAGATACTTGAACTCCTCCACTTGAGGAAGGGCCTCTCCACCCACCCGGAGAGGGCAAGGCACCTTTTTCCGGTCGAGCACCATGGCCTCGGATTTGGAGGTGCTGATTCTCATCCCAGCCGCTTCACACTCGGCTGCAAACCGTCCCAGTGCATGTTGTAGGTCCTGGTTCGTTGGAGCCAACAGGACAACATCGTCTGCAAACAGCAGAGATGAAATCCTGTGGTCCCCGAACCGGACCCCCTCCGACCCTTGGCTCCGCCTAGAAATTCTGTCCATGAATACAGTGAACAGAACCGGTGACAAAGGGCAGCCCTGGCGGAGGCCAACATTCACCGGGAACAGGTCTGACTTACTGCCGGCAATGCGCACGCAGCTCTGGCTCCGGTCCCTGTGACGGCCCTCAGCAGAGGACCCCGGACCCCGTACTCACGGAGGACCCCCCAAAAGACACCCCGGGGAACACGGTCGAACGCCTTCTCCAAATCCACAAAGCACATGTGGACAGGTTGGGCAAACTCCCATGAACCCTCGAGTATCCGATGGAGAGTATAGAGCTGGTCCAGTGTTCCACGGCCGGGACGAAAACCACACTGCTCCTCCTGAATCCGAGATTCGACCATCGGCCGTAACCTCCTCTCCAGTACCCTGGAGTAGACCTTACCGGGGAGGCTGAGCAGTGTGATCCCACGATAATTGGAACACACCCTCCTGTCCCCCTTCTTGTAGAGAGGGACCACCACCCCGGTCTGCCACTCCATTGGCACTGCCCCCGATCGCCACGCGATGTTGCAGAGACGTGTCAACCAAGACAGTCCTACAACATCCAGAGACTTTAGAGTCAGGACGGATCTCATCCACTCCCGGCGCCTTGCCACCAAGGAGGCTGCCAACCACCTTGGTGACCTCTGCCAGGGTGACAGAAGTATCCGCCCCAACATCCTCAGCCTCTGCCTCCGGAGCGGAGGACGTGACGGGGGGATTGAGGAGAACCTCAAAGTATTCCTTCCACCGTCCGACAATATCACCGGTCGAGGTCAGCAGCTCACCCCCCGCACCGTACACGGTGTTGGCAAAGAACTGCTTCCCCCTCCTGAGGCGCCGGACAGTTTGCCAGAATCTCTTCGAGGCCGACCGATAGTCATGCTCCATGGACTCTCCGAATTCCTCCCAGTCCCGGGTTTTTGCCTCTGCAACAGCCCGGGCCGCGGCACGCTTGGCCAGCCGGTACTGGACAGCTGCCTCAGGAGTCCCCCGAACCATCATGGCTCGATAGGACTCCTTCTTCAGCCTGACGGCATCCCTTACTGCCGGTGTCCACCACCGGGTTAGGGGGTTGCCGCCGGGACCAGCACCAGAGACCTTGCGACCACAGCTACGAGCCGCCGCATCGGCGATAGAGGAAGAGAACATGGTCCACTCAGACTCAATATCCCCCTCCTCTGCCGGGACCTGGGAGAAGCTCTCCCGGAGGTGTGAGTTGAAAGTCCGTCTGACAGGGGGCTCAGCGAGACGTTCCCAGCAGACCCTCACTACACGCTTGGGTCTGCCAGGTCTGACCGGCTTCTTCCCCTGCCAGCGGATCCAACTCACGACCAGGTGATGATCGGTTGACAGCTCCGCCCCTCTCTTTACCCGAGTGTCCGAAACACGCGGCCGAAGGTCAGATGATACGACAACAAAGTCGATCATCGACCTCCGGCCTAGGGTGTCCTGGTGCCACGTGCACTGGTGGACACCCTTGTGCTCAAACATGGTGTTCGTGATGGACAAACTGTGACTGGCACAGAAGTCCAACAACTGAACACCGCTCGGGTTCAGATCAGGGGGGCCATTCTTCCCGATCACCCCTCTCCAAGTGTCACTGGCGCTTCCCACATGGGCGTTAAAGTCCCCCAGGAGAATAACGGAGTCCCCGGGCGGTGCACCGTCCAGTACCCCTCCCAAGGACTCCAAGAAGGCCGGGTACTCTGCACTGCTGTTAGGCCCGTAGGCCGTCACAACAGTGAGAGACTTGTCCCCCACCCGGAGGCGGAGGGACGCGACCCTCTCATTCACCGGGGAGAACTCCAACACGTGGCGGCTGAGATGGGGGGCAATGAGTATGGCCACCCCAGCTCGCCGCCTCTCCCCGCGAGAAACACCAGAAAAGTGGAGCGTCCAACCCCTCTCAAGGAGTTGGGTTCCAGAGCCCAAGCTGTGTGTGGAGGTGAGGCCGACTATCTCTAGTCGGTACCTCTCGACCTCCCCCACAAGCTCGGGCTCCTTCCCCCCAAAAGTGTCAATAAGTGGTTTAAACAAAATAAATTATCTCTAAATCTGAGTAAAAGTAAAATGATGATATTTGGCAACCGTAATTCCAAAGCTCAGATTCAGATCGAGGGTATTGTCATAGAGCGAGTGCGTGAAATCACATTCCTTGGTGTTATTATAGATGACAGAATTACTTGGAAAGCTCATATTAAATATCTACGAACATTTCTAGAAGCATTTCAGTAATAGCAAAAGCAAAGCACATTTTAAACATCAAAGCTCTACATATCTTATACTGTTCTCTGATGTTGCCATATTTATATTATTGTACTGTGGTTTGGGGTAGTACTTATAAAAACACATTAAAACCAATAGTATTGTTGCAAAAAGAGCTTTCCGAGTAATTCATAAAGTTGGGTTTTTGGACCACACAAACTCATTATTTTTAAAATCAAAGATCATGAAGTTTTGTGACATTGTTGAGTTCCAAACTGTACAGATGTTATATCTGTTACCGAGCCGAATACAAAGAAGGTTCCAAGAACCAACTGTTGTTATGAATTACGTGACGAATTAAACTTTAGGACTCAGAAACATAGCTCAACTTTGAAAAGTTTTAGCCCAACAGCTAATGATGTACAATTGTGGAATAAACTGGAAATGGAGTTGAAACGAAGTCCAAATATCAACCTGTTCAAATATAAATACAAACAAAAGACTTTTGAAATATACAGTGAACAAGAAATGTGTTGCCACCAGAGGATCAATTACGTGTTTCCTTTAGTTTCCTTTAGTTTCCTTTAGTTTCCTTTAATTTCCTTTAGTTTCCTCTAGTTTCCTTTAGTTTCCTTTAGTTTCCTCTAGTTTCCTCTAGTTTCCTTTAGTTTCCTCTAGTTTCCTCTAGTTTCCTCTAGTTTCCTTTAGTTTCCTTTAGTTTCCTTTAGTTTCCTTTAGTTTCCTTTAGTTTCCTTTAGTTTCCTTTAGTTTCCTCTAGTTTCCTTTAGTTTCCTTTAGTTTCCTTTAGTTTCCTTTAGTTTCCTTTAGTTTCCTTTAGTTTCCTTTAGTTTCCTCTAGTTTCCTTTAGTTTCCTTTAGTTTCCTTTAGTTTCCTTTAGTTTCCTTTAGTTTCCTCTAGTTTCCTCTAGTTTCCTTTAGTTTCCTTTAGTTTCCTTTAGTTTCCTCTATGATCAAGGAAGAGTGTTGCTGCTTGGAACGGTTGTCATTCTATTGCATAAATTTACAAATTGAGAATTAGGGTTGGCAAGTTATGAATCTGTGGAGAGGGACCCTCCCAACGGGCTCTAAACCACTCAGCATAGGAACATCATCAGCTGTTAGGGCAGCTGGGGGGGGTTTGTTGAGGGGGAGTTACTGCAGCTGGGGGGGGTTTGTTGAGGGGGAGTTACTGCAGCTGGGGGGGGTTTGTTGAGGGGGAGTTACTGCAGCTGGGGGGGGGTTTGTTGAGGGGGAGTTACTGCAGCTGGGGGGGTTTGTTGAGGGGGAGTTACTGCAGCTGGGGGGGGTTGTTGAGGGGGAGTTACTGCAGCTGGGGGGGGTTTGTTGAGGGGGAGTTACTGCAGCTGGGGGGGGTTTGTTGAGGGGAGTTACTGCAGCTGGGGGGGTTGAGGGGGAGTTACTGCAGCTGGGGGGGGTTTGTTGAGGGGGAGTTACTGCAGCTGGGGGGGGGGTTTGTTGAGGGGGAGTTACTGCAGCTGGGGGGGGTTTGTTGAGGGGGAGTTACTGCAGCTGGGGGGGGTTTGTTGAGGGGGAGTTACTGCAGCTGGGGGGGTTTGTTGAGGGGAGTTACTGCAGCTGGGGGAGTTACTGCAGCTGGGGGGTTTGTTGAGGGGGAGTTACTGCAGGGGAGTTGGGGGGGGTTTGTTGAGGGGGAGTTACTGCAGCTGGGGGGGGTTTGTTGAGGGGGAGTTACTGCAGCTGGTGGGGGTTTGTTGAGGGGGAGTTACTGCAGCTGGGGGGGTTTGTTGAGGGGGAGTTACTGCCCTCTTCAACTGGCCCGTTCTACACCTGGCTTTTTAATGCACCACACTATGCAGGGCTAACTCAATTAAACAAATATAATAATAATGATAATTAAACCCAAATTAAATGATATTAAGGATGGTAATGACAACTGGGAAGTAGCAAGATCTCAGAGTATAATATGTATTATTGCACCTTTATAACATAAAAGTAGCACATTCTTTTGTTCTTTATTTTGCTGTTGTTTTTATTTTGTTCTGGTTCATCATTTATTGTTACTTTGCCCTTTGTTCCTTTGTTTATGATTTGCTACCTTGTAAATATTAAATGTAATGTTATTATTTTTATTTTGGGGTTAACTGCTCAAACAAATAAATAAATAAATAAATAAAAATTGGCTACACGCTGCAGTCATGGCAACGCGCTTGTCTGTCCCCGACACCACACACCAAGAGAAATCGGGCCAAAACAATCCAACATGTTGGATATCCC